AGTGTGTCACTAAGACAGTTACATACAACAAACTGTGGCACTAAGAGCATGACCCACCCACGTCACAGCATGACCCACCCACGTCACGGCATCTGATGAACCTGATACAACACTCACCTTAAATCTATCATTGATGCTCTTCATATATCCCAGTGTGTCACTAAGACAGTTACATATATCCTCATATATCCCAGTGTGTCACTAAGACAGTAACATATATCCCAGTGTGTCACTAAGACAGTTACATACAACAAACTGTGGCACTAAGAGCATGACCCACCCACGTCACAGCATGACACGAAGACATCTGATGAACCTGATACAACACTCACCTTAAATCTATCATTGATGCTCTTCATATATCCCAGTGTGTCACTAAGACAGTTACATACAACAAACTGTGGCACTAAGAGCATGACCCACCCACGTCACAGCATGACACGAAGACATCTGATAAAACCTGATACAACACTCACCTTAAATCTACCATTGATGCTCTTCATACATCCCAGTGTGTCACTAAGACAGTTACATACAACAAACTGTGGCACTAAGAGCATGACCCACCCACGTCACAGCATGACACGAAGGCATCTGATGAACCTGATACAACACTCACCTTAAATCTACCATTGATGCTCTTCATACATCCCAGTGTGTCACTAAGACAGTTACATATATCCTCATATATCCCAGTGTGTCACTAAGACAGTTACATACAACAAACTGTGGCACTAAGAGCATGACCCACCCACGTCACAGCATGACACGAAGGCATCTGATGAACCTGATACAACACTCACCTTAAATCTATCATTGATGCTCTTCATATATCCCAGTGTGTCACTAAGACAGTTACATATATCCTCATATATCCCAGTGTGTCACTAAGACAGTTACATATATCCTCATATATCCCAGTGTGTCACTAAGACAGTTACATATATCCTCATATATCCCAGTGTGTCACTAAGACAGTTACATACAACAAACTGTGGCACTAAGAGCATGACCCACCCACGTCACAGCATGACAAGAAGGCATCTGATGAACCTGATACAACACTCACCTTAAATCTGTCATTGATGCTCTTCATATATCCCAGTGTGTCACTAAGACAGTTACATACAACAAACTGTGGCACTAAGAGCATGACCCACCCACGTCACAGCATGACATGAAGGCATCTGATGAACCTGATACAACACTCACCTTAAATCTGTCATTGATGCTCTTCATATATCCCAGTGTGTCACTAAGACAGTTACATACAACAAACTGTGGCACTAAGTACATGACCCACCCACGTCACAGCATGACAGAAGGCATCTGATGAACCTGATACAACACTCACCTTAAATCTATCATTGATGCTCTTCATATATCCCAGTGTGTCACTAAGACAGTTACATATATCCTCATATATCCCAGTGTGTCACTAAGACAGTTACATACAACAAACTGTGGCACTAAGAGCATGACCCACCCACGTCACAGCATGACAAGAAGGCATCTGATGAACCTGATACAACACTCACCTTAAATCTGTCATTGATGCTCTTCATATATCCCAGTGTGTCACTAAGACAGTTACATACAACAAACTGTGGCACTAAGAGCATGACCCACCCACGTCACAGCATGACAGAAGGCATCTGATGAACCTGATACAACACTCACCTTAAATCTATCATTGATGCTCTTCATATATCCCAGTGTGTCATTAAGACAGTTACATACAACAAACTGTGGCACTAAGTACATGACCCACCCACGTCACAGCATGACAGAAGGCATCTGATGAACCTGATACAACACTCACCTTAAATCTATCATTGATGCTCTTCATATATCCCAGTGTGTCACTAAGACAGTTACATACAACAAACTGTGGCACTAAGTACATGACCCACCCACGTCACGGCATCTGATGAACCTGATACAACACTCACCTTAAATCTATCATTGATGCTCTTCATATATCCCAGTGTGTCACTAAGTCAGTTACATACAACAAACTGTTGAACTAAGAGCATGACCCACCCACGTCACAGCATGACAGAAGGCATCTGATAAAACCTGATACAACACTCACCTTAAATCTGTCATTGATGGTCTTCATATATCCCAGTGTGTCACTAAGACAGTTACATACAACAAACTGTGGCACTAAGAGCATGACCCACCCACGTCACAGCATGACAAGAAGGCATCTGATGAACCTGATACAACACTCACCTTAAATCTATCATTGATGCTCTTCATATATCCCAGTGTGTCACTAAGACAGTTACATATATCCTCATATATCCCAGTGTGTCACTAAGACAGTTACATATATCCTCATATATCCCAGTGTGTCACTAAGACAGTTACATATATCCTAATATATCCCAGTGTGTCACTAAGACAGTTACATACAACAAACTGTGGCACTAAGAGCATGACCCACCCACGTCACAGCATGACAAGAAGGCATCTGATGAACCTGATACAACACTCACCTTAAATCTGTCATTGATGCTCTTCATATATCCCAGTGTGTCACTAAGACAGTTACATACAACAAACTGTGGCACTAAGTACATGACCCACCCACGTCACAGCATGACAGAAGGCATCTGATGAACCTGATACAACACTCACCTTAAATCTATCATTGATGCTCTTCATATATCCCAGTGTGTCACTAAGACAGTTACATATATCCTCATATATCCCAGTGTGTCACTAAGACAGTTACATACAACAAACTGTGGCACTAAGAGCATGACCCACCCACGTCACAGCATGACAAGAAGGCATCTGATGAACCTGATACAACACTCACCTTAAATCTATCATTGATGCTCTTCATATATCCCAGTGTGTCACTAAGACAGTTACATATATCCTCATATATCCCAGTGTGTCACTAAGACAGTTACATACAACAAACTGTGGCACTAAGAGCATGACCCACCCACGTCACAGCATGACAAGAAGGCATCTGATGAACCTGATACAACACTCACCTTAAATCTATCATTGATGCTCTTCATATATCCCAGTGTGTCACTAAGACAGTTACATACAACAAACTGTGGCACTAAGAGCATGACCCACCCACGTCACAGCATGACCCACCCACGTCACGGCATCTGATGAACCTGATACAACACTCACCTTAAATCTATCATTGATGCTCTTCATATATCCCAGTGTGTCACTAAGACAGTTACATATATCCTCATATATCCCAGTGTGTCACTAAGACAGTAACATATATCCCAGTGTGTCACTAAGACAGTTACATACAACAAACTGTGGCACTAAGAGCATGACCCACCCACGTCACAGCATGACACGAAGACATCTGATGAACCTGATACAACACTCACCTTAAATCTATCATTGATGCTCTTCATATATCCCAGTGTGTCACTAAGACAGTTACATACAACAAACTGTGGCACTAAGAGCATGACCCACCCACGTCACAGCATGACACGAAGACATCTGATAAAACCTGATACAACACTCACCTTAAATCTACCATTGATGCTCTTCATACATCCCAGTGTGTCACTAAGACAGTTACATACAACAAACTGTGGCACTAAGAGCATGACCCACCCACGTCACAGCATGACACGAAGGCATCTGATGAACCTGATACAACACTCACCTTAAATCTACCATTGATGCTCTTCATACATCCCAGTGTGTCACTAAGACAGTTACATATATCCTCATATATCCCAGTGTGTCACTAAGACAGTTACATACAACAAACTGTGGCACTAAGAGCATGACCCACCCACGTCACAGCATGACACGAAGGCATCTGATGAACCTGATACAACACTCACCTTAAATCTATCATTGATGCTCTTCATATATCCCAGTGTGTCACTAAGACAGTTACATATATCCTCATATATCCCAGTGTGTCACTAAGACAGTTACATATATCCTCATATATCCCAGTGTGTCACTAAGACAGTTACATATATCCTCATATATCCCAGTGTGTCACTAAGACAGTTACATACAACAAACTGTGGCACTAAGAGCATGACCCACCCACGTCACAGCATGACAAGAAGGCATCTGATGAACCTGATACAACACTCACCTTAAATCTGTCATTGATGCTCTTCATATATCCCAGTGTGTCACTAAGACAGTTACATATATCCTCATATATCCCAGTGTGTCACTAAGACAGTTACATACAACAAACTGTGGCACTAAGAGCATGACCCACCCACGTCACAGCATGACAGAAGGCATCTGATGAACCTGATACAACACTCACCTTAAATCTATCATTGATGCTCTTCATATATCCCAGTGTGTCACTAAGACAGTTACATACAACAAACTGTGGCACTAAGTACATGACCCACCCACGTCACAGCATGACAGAAGGCATCTGATGAACCTGATACAACACTCACCTTAAATCTATCATTGATGCTCTTCATATATCCCAGTGTGTCACTAAGACAGTTACATACAACAAACTGTGGCACTAAGTACATGACCCACCCACGTCATGGCATCTGATGAACCTGATACAACACTCACCTTAAATCTATCATTGATGCTCTTCATATATCCCAGTGTGTCACTAAGTCAGTTACATACAACAAACTGTGGAACTAAGAGCATGACCCACCCACGTCACGGCATCTGATGAACCTGATACAACACTCACCTTAAATCTATCATTGATGCTCTTCATATATCCCAGTGTGTCACTAAGAGTTACATACAACAAACTGTGGCACTAAGAGCATGACCCACCCACGTCACAGCATGACCCACCCACGTCACGGCATCTGATGAACCTGATACAACACTCACCTTAAATCTATCATTGATGCTCTTCATATATCCCAGTGTGTCACCAAGAGTTACATACAACAAACTGTGGCACTAAGAGCATGACCCACCCACGTCACAGCATGACCCACCCACGTCACGGCATCTGATGAACCTGATACAACACTCACCTTAAATCTATCATTGATGGTCTTAACAAGCTCCTTGGCAGAGTCCGCTGGCTTGTCTCGGAAATCCTCCTACAGCAGAGATTATGTATGAAACACCAGGTACAAATACAAGTCTTCACTCAATAAACTCATCTGTATCCCATCCTCCAATTTAACCATTAAATCTTCAAACATATCAAGTTCTTACAATATCAAATTGTAAAACTTGGAGGCAATTTCTGATCTCGGGAAACATCCCCTCCATCTTAAGAGAAGAGACCCACATTACTGTCCCAAGTAGAATATCCAGATGAACCAACTTCCAGGGTATTGGATAATGTGTACATTGACATGTCCCTTGATATGACATGGCATATATAGTAAAAGTGATCATCTGGAAGGTCAGGTTACTCTGAACAATTGACAAAAACTGCCATGGTTCCTGCAGCTGTTGTTGTCATCCAGATTTATCTCTCTCACCATCTCACACACCATAGTTGCTACAGGGTTTAAAACAAATCTGTCACACTCTTGCACACTCATCTCTCTCACAGTCCGCTGACCTTGACAACAGCTACCTACCTCAACAATGAACATCGGCTATCAACAACAGCTACCTACCTCAACAACGAACATAGTCTATCGACAACAACTATCTACCACGGCGACCAACATCAGCTGTCAACAACAACTACCCACCTCTTCAGATGGCTTCTCAAAGTAGGATCTCTTCTTCTTCTCATCCCTGTCTCGGTCCCTGTCCCGTTCCCTCTCTCGTTCCCGGTCTCTATCCTGTTCCCGATGTCTGTCCCTTCTGTCCCGTTCCCGATCTCGATATTCTCTCTCACGGTCCCCCCTGTCTCTGTGACTGTCTCTATCTCTGTGGTCCCGATCTCGATCCCTCCCTCTTTCACGTTCCCGATCTCTTTCTCTCTCTGGAAGCCTGTCCCTGTCTCTCTCCTTCCGATCCTTCTTATCCTTTGACTTCCCGACTTGAGGAGCATACTGACCAATATCTCCATAGATGCTGCAGACAGGATACATTTGTTACCATCTCAACTCAAACTGTTCATAACAGTCTTTTTCCTTCCTGCCAGGTTTGTTCACAAGTTTCAGTAATAGGCAAACAATTAAAAACGATAAAAGTAAAATGTGTAGTAATGCATTAACTTATTACAAACCCCAAAAATGTTTTCTCAAAATTACATTCTATTTTCATTTTCATTTCACACCTTTCTCATCAACGTATGTATATTCTCTACAAAATCAAAGTGACTGTCTATAAGCCTGGCAATGTAGTTTTGTTTGTTTGTTTGTTGTTTAACGCCGCACTCCGCAATATTCCAGCTATATGACGGCGGTCTGTAAATAATCGAGTCTGGACCAGACGATCCAGTGATTGACAACACAAACATCGATCAATGCAATTGGGATGCGATGACATGCATCAACCAAGTCAACGAGTCTGACCACCCGATCCCATTAGTCGCCTTTTACGGCAAGCATGGGTTTCTGGTCCCTGGTAATGTAATACACATGTAATGGTGGGAGTCGGCTGCAGAGGACTGCGGTACACCATGTTCTGCCCCCCAGTCTTGTAGATGGAGAGTTCACCTGTCATCTGCTCCAGGCAGCTTCTCCTTTGGCTTATCCTCTTCCTTCAGCTTCCCTGCAACACAACAGGCAGTGAGTTGATTCACAAACAGAGCTACTGGCACACCTATTTACTGAACGACCTCTGGAAAGTCATATTTACAGAAAGAAATACGGCGTCCTATTTACAATCAGAGCTCTAGAGTCCTATTTACAGACAGAGCTCTAGAGAGTCCTATTTACAGAGCTCTAGAGAGTCCTTTTTACAGACAGAGCTCTAGAGAGACCTATCTACAGAGCTCTAGAGAGTCCTATTTACAGACAGAGCACTAGAGAGTCCTTTTTACAGACAGAGCTCTAGAGAGACCTATTTACAGAGCACTAGAGAGTCCTATTTACAGACAGCTCTAGAGAGTCCTTTTTACAGAGAGTGAGTGAGTGAGTGAGAATGGTTTTATGCCGTTTTTAGCAATATTCCAGCAATATCACGGTGGGGGTCACCATTGTACCCATGTCGGGAATCGAACCCGGTCTTCGGCGTGACGAGCAAACGCTTTAACTCGACTGCCCCATTTACAGACAGAGCTCTAGAGAGTCCTATTTACAGATAGAACCCTGGGGGGTCATTTCTACAGACAGAGCTCCAGAGAGTCCTATTGACAGACAGAACTTAAGACAGTTATATTTACAAATAGAACTATGTAGAGACATATTTACAGACAGAATTTTGGACAGCTGTATTTACAGAGATACAGACAGGCAGGACTAAAAACAAGACTACACTTTAACCACTAGGCTACCATCTTCTCCTCCCACCTTTCTCCTTCTTCTTGAGTTTCTTCGTCTCCCGCTTGCCTTGTCGTAGGTAGGACAAGATCTGGGTTAGTTTGTTGATCACAATGTCATTCGTAGTCAGTGTTGTTGTTGCCTGTGCAAATTTCATTATAATGGCATGTAGAGGTCATTTTCAAAGGGACAACATGAAGTAACAGTCACAATAACAAATTTTTTTCTGAATTCTGAGATAACAAGTCATGGAATTTTGTTGCAGACAGAATATTTTTTCAGTCATCTCTTCAAACATACAACATTTTTATCTGAAAATATCCAATCTTTTTTAGAACATCTTGCAAATTATTTATTCCCAGCATTTTCTGAAACACCCATCCGCCAGACTATTGAATGTTTGACCCCAACTGCAGCATCCCCATCTCCACCGTCTCTCACCAACATGAGACATGGGAGATCTGGTTTGCACAGCTGTCTACTCTTGACACAGATATTCTAATGTCAACATTATTCTTTTCCAGGTTTGTCACTGAGGATGGCTGATGACATAACAATCTAGATCTCACTTGCTATGATATGTGCATTTTCCCGAGGCAAGGGAGTTGACTGACTGAAAAAGTCAGTTTCCACCCTTGCCAAACTAGGCTAGAATTTCTGGGCTTGATCGTAGCGCCTCCTGTGGCTATTACGAGTATGTCCCTTCTGTGTCCCTCCTATTGACTACTCAGATTCCACCTCTCATATCACTTGCATTTGCTTCAAACAAAATGGCGGTGGCCAGTGAAGATGATATGATCGCTGATCAAGATCCTTATTGTAATAAAATGGGTCTTACTTTGCGAAGTACATCAAATCACGTGAGCACATTGGTTAAAAACATGAAAAGATTTGGAATAATTATGTTCACAATAAATTGTCCACTTGCTTTGCAAATGCTGCAATTGACTGAAATCTGAAAGGCAGTTTAATAATCAGATGTTGATTACGTTATGCGGTTTTGATTGGAATATGCATAGACCTGTTCGTCCAGCCAAAATATGACTTCATAATTCCAGCAAGGCAAGGCTGGAAACTGGACTTTTAGAGTCAGTTACCTTCCTTGCCTCAGGAGATGTGATATGTGTAGATGCTATTGACATGGTGACCATGTTTCCTACAGTATAGACTGCAGTTCTTTCACTCACTTCCAGACTGGGGCAGTCAGCTTTGCTTCTGATGAGAGTGGTCGGCACGTCGGACTCGGCAAAGTCGTCCTCCAAGTCTACAACGTACGCCATACGACGTGGCAGAAACAACTCATTCCTGTCTGGGAGGCGGGCTTTGAAGATTGTACGATACACATTCCTAGCTGGAGACAAAGAGAAGTTCTCAAATGTAGGGTAGTCAGTGACAAACACATCTTAAATCTACTTCTCAGCAGATTCTAATATTAATACATAGGCTATCATTAATTGACCTTCCAGAGTGATATTTTTTCAAGATATGAGCACCAGACCAAATGCAAATAATGCAGTGTTGGGGTTTAATTCCAGTTCATGAGTTCATAAGTGAGTTCATGGTGAGTACATGAGTGAGTTCATGAGTGAGTTCATGTTAAGTTAACGAGCGATTTCATGGTGAGTTCATCAGCAAATTCATGGTGAGTGCATGCGTGAGTTCACTAGTGAGTTCATAGTCAGCTGGTGTGTTCATGAGTTAACAAGCGAGTTCATGAGTTCATAAACGAGTTCATGGTGAGTTCAAGAGCAAGTTCATGGTGGATTTGTGGTGAGTTCATGAGTTCACAAGCAAGTTCCTGAGTGAGTTCATGCGTTAGTTCATGGTGAGATCATGAGTACATGAGTGAGTTCCTGAGTGAGTTTATGGTGAATTCATGGTGAGTTCACCAATGAGTTCATGGTGAATTGGTGGGAAGTTTATGAGTGAGTTCATGGTCAGTTCATGAGTTCACAAGCAAGTTCATGGTGAGTTCATCAGGTTATGACTGAGTTCATGGTGAGTTCATGAGTGAGTTCATGGGTTCACAAGTGAGTTCATGGGTTCACAAGTGGGTTCATGAATTCATGGTGAGATGAATGAGTGAATTTATGAGTGAGTTCATGTTGAGATCATGAGTGAGTTTATGGTGAGATCATGAGTGAGTTCATGGTGAGATCATGAGTGAGTTCTCGAGGTTATGAGTGAGTTCATAATTGAGTTCATTGTGAGATCATGAGTGAGTTCATTGTGAGATCATGAGAGAGTTCATGGTGAGATCACAAGTTCATGAGTGAGTTCATGAGTTCACAAGCAAATTCATGAGTGAGTTCATTAGTTCACAAGCAAACTCATGGGTTCACACAAGCAAGTTCATGAGTTCATGGTGAGATCATGAGAGAGTTCATGAGGTTATGAGTGAGTTCATGGTGGGATCATGAGTGAGTTCATTGTGAGATCATAAGTGAGTTCATCAGGTTATGAGTGAGTTCAATGTGAGATCATGAGTGAGATCATGAGTGAGTTCAGTGTGAGATCATGAGTGAGTTCATGGTGAGTTCATAAGTGAGTTCATGAGTGAGTTCAGTGTGAGATCATGCGTGAGATTATGAGTTAGTTCATTGTGAGATTATTAGTGAGTTCAGGAGGTTATGAGTGAGTTCATGGTGAGATCATGAGTGAGTTCATGAGCTTATTAGTGAGTTCATGAGAGTTTAAGAGTGAGTTTATGAGTGAGTTTATGAGTGAGCTCATGGTGAGTTCATGTGGTTATGAGCGAGTTCATGGTGAGTTTATGAGTGAGTTCATGAGTAAGTTCATGGTGAGATCATAAGTGAGTAAGTGAGGTGTTTTAATAATTTACCCATTTTTGTCTTGAACTGCATCTGGTTCTCCGGATCTTCTTCCTCCCTGAAAACAAACTGCCAACTTCAGTTTCATGTCACAAATATACTCGAACCTAATATCCCAACTATGTGTGAACAAAAAAGGTTTGTATGTTTGTTGTTTAACACCGCACTCAGCAATATTTCAGCTATATGATGGCGGTTGAACAAACTAAGTACGCTTGAACCTAACATCCAAAAAATGTGTGAACAAACTAATTTATCAAACCTCCATGTCAGAATGACGTGATCTGATTGGTTCACATGACCTTGATAAAATATGATGTATCCTGCCTTGGAGGGAAAGGGAAATAAATCCCTTATACCCCGCCATGAGCAAGGCAGGATGCATGTGGATTTCTGAGAGGCAGAATAAATCCCTTATACCCTGCCATGAGCAAGGCAGGCGGCATGTGGTTTTCTGAGAGGCAGAATAAATCCCTTATACCCCGCCATGAGCAAGGCAGGCGGCATGTGGTTTTCTGAGAGGCAGAATAAATCCCTTATACACCGCCATGAGCAAGGCAGGCGGCATGTGGTTTTCTGAGAGGCAGAATAAATCCCTTATACCCCGCCATGAGCAAGGCAGGCGGCATGTGGATTTCTGAGAGGCAGAATAAGTCCCTTATAGCCTGTTTCAAAGCAAAAAGCTGCACGCTTTTTTCTGAGTCACGTGACACAGCACAAGCTAACCTTAGCTATCAATCAATTTTGAATTTGTTATATTAAAACATATCGGTAATATATATTTGTTGTAGCAGGATCACTCGTGGCACATGGGGTTTTATGCATCCCTCGTTCCGGCTCATGGTATAAAAACCAAACGCGGGACGCATAAACCCCATGTGCCCTGCGTGATCCTGCTACAACTTATAGTATGCTCCAACCTAATACCCCAACAATGTGTGAACAAACTAATGTGTTTACAAACAACATCATAAATACACCAGTGTGAACAACTAGATAAAGTTGCTGAAATAACAAAATTTCACATTTCAACTAAAAAGGACACACACACCGGCAGCCAACTACACTCCACATGAGCAATGATCCATCACAGTGACTCAGAGACAGAACACCTACTTTTTCTTGGGTTCGGGCGGCGGCGGTGCTGGTGCGGGGATTGGGACGGGGGCAGCAGAGTTGGCGGCACCAGGAGGGGCGGGGGTGGTGGTGCTGGTCACGGCATTCTCCATAGCATCCTCCTCTTCCCTTTCCTTTGATGTGATTTCCGCTCGTACCTGTCAGTTTGAAATGATTGATAGTACATCGAGAGTCGAGTCATTTGTCGTGTTTGTTTGTTGTTTAACGCCGCACTCAGGAATATTCCAGCTATATGATGGCGGTCTGTAACTAATCGAGTCTGGACCAGTCAATCCAGTGATTGGCATCATGAGCATTGATCCACGCAATTAGGATAAGATGCACTCAGCAATATTCCAGCTATATGATGGCGGTCTGTAACTAATCGAGTCTGGACCAGACAAACCAGTGATTGACATCATGAGCATCGATCCACGCAATTGGGATAAGATGATATGCATCAACCAAGTCAGTGAGCCTGACCTCCCGATCCCGTTATTTGCCTCTTACGACAAGCATAGTCATCTCTTATGGCAAGCATGGGTTGCTGAAGACCTATTCTAACCCAGACCTTCATGGGTCCATTTGTCATGTAAATTAGTAAAATCTAAATATTTTTTACATTTGTATACTTATCCTGCATTACTACGCTTAAGGAGTAATGCAGGATAAGTAAAAAATATAGTGTTTTTATGAACTTGTATAGTCTTGGCATCCTTGTCAAGGAGTAGTAATGAGACGAGATGATTGTATGACCCAGGCCCATTGTATCCAAGGTACACTCAACTGCCCTGTGTTTGTCTGTGCTTGTGCGTGAGTGCGTGCGTGTGTGTGAGTATGTGTGAATGTTAGTGTGTGTGTATGCATGTGTGTCTCTATGCTTGCATGTTTGTGTGTGTGTGTGTGTGTGTGTGCATGCGTGCGTGCGTGTGAGTATGTGTGAATGTTAGTGTGTGTGCATGCATGTGTCTCTGTGCTTGCATGTTTGTGTGTGTGCATGTGTGCGTGAGTGCGTGTGAGTATGTGTGAATGTTAGTGTGTGTGCTTGCATGTTTGTGTGTGTGCGTGCGTATGTTAGTGTGTGTGCATGCATGTGTGTCTCTGTGTGTCTGTGTGTTACCTTCTCCAGCAAGGCGTAGTCCAGCCCCTTCACCAAGTGGGTGTGCATGCATGTGTGTGTGTGTGCATGCATGTGTGTCTCTGTGTGTGTGCGTGTTACCTTCTCCAGCAAGGCGTAGTCCAGCCCCTTCACCAAGTGAGTGTGCTCCATGTCACCTCCCAGGTACTTGGACTCTTGGATCAGCTGCTTACGACGCTCAGCATAGTTCTCTCCCCTGAAATAGTCAATTTCATGGATTCTCCAAACATGGACAAAAAGCCTCAATCAAATACGCTGGTAGCCTTTTTGAATACTGACTGAAAATCATAAACAATATTTTGGTTGCTTACAAAAAACTTTTATCATGCTCATGCTCATGCAAATGATTTAATAGAAAGTATTCGGCTGTTTAGCAGACACAGCAGAGCAGTGCTTCTACTTACGCCTTGGCATCCGGGGCCACTGCTCGGTAGTCTGCAGTGGTGCTGATAATCTCCGTCTCAGCGTAGTCCTTGTTTGACCCTTCACGACGTTCCCGAGCCTGCAGACAGACAGATTCATGACTTCATGACAACAACATATCAGAGGATTAGATTCTTTCTAAATTCTACCCCAATGGCAGCACCTTTCAAAACATTTACATGTGGATTGTTGATTTTTCACATATCTAGGACAGATGTTTAATGATTCGTATGGAACTTCAAACTGATGTGAATACTTCTCAGTTAGGAGTGAGTGAGTATGGTTTTAGGCCGCTTTTAGCAATATTCCAGCAATATCACGGCGGGTCTTCGGCGTGACGAGCGAATGCTTTAACCACTAGGCTACCCGACCGCCCCTTCTCAGTTAGGAAGGCTGAGCTAGGGAATAGTACTGGTTGTATCCCAGTTTCAGATACTTCACACTGTGTCAGGATTACACTGTCAATAGGCCTAAAAATCTTTATGTAGACAGTACTAGTCTGACCCTTCTTTGACACAACACGTTGATGAGTGTGGATATCTTTAATCAAAACTACTTGCAGCATTCTTTTTATCTTTACTCCAGATCAGTCTAAGCAGACTTATATAGTCAAAATGAACTTAATATGTCTCGTCTCATTGTGGCTCCTGTAAAACACACCAAGTGTAACAGAGTTACTTACTTTACAACAGGGTGTGATCTACTGGATCAACTGGACTCACCCTGTCACGGTATGAGTGTGTGATCTACTGGACTCACCCTGTCACGGTATTAGTCTGTGATCTACTGGACTCACCCTGTCACAGTATGAGTCTGTGATCTACTGGACTCACCCTGTCATGGTATTAGTGTGTGATCTACTGGACTCACCCTGTCACAGTATGAGTCTGTGATCTACTGGACTCACCCTGTCATGGTATTTGTGTGTGATCTACTGGACTCACCCTGTCACAGTATTTATGTGTGATCTACTGGACTCACCCTGTCACAGTATAAGTGTGTGATCTACTGGACTCACCCTGTCACGGTATTTGTCTGTGATCTACTGGACTCACCCTGTCACGGTATTAGTGTGTGATCTACTAGACTCACCCTGTCACGGTATTAGTGTGTGATCTACTGGACTCACCCTGTCACGGTATTTATGTGTGATCTACTTGACTCACCCTGTCACGGTATTTGTATGTGATCTACTAGACTCACCTTGTCACAGTATTTGTATGTGATCTACTAGACTCACCTTGTCACGGTATTTGTATGTGATCTACTAGACTCACCTTGTCACGGTATTTGTATGTGATCTACTGGACTCACCCTTCACGGTATTAGTGTGTGATCTTCTCGACTCACCCTGTCACGGTATTTGTATGTGATCTACTAGACTCACCTTGTCACAGTATTTGTGTGTGATTTACTGGACTCACCCAGCCACAATATTTATGTGTGATCTACTGGACTCACCCTGTCACGGTATTTGTCAGCCAGCTCCTTCTGTCGCTCTTCTTCCATCCTCTTCAGCTTGGCATAGTAGCTGAAACACGACACCTCACACATAACGACTCTCAAATAGCCTTCATTACGACTGATAGATGTCTCCTTGATGCTGATTGGCTGCCTCACTCTCACGAGACATCAGACATGGAATTCCTCCTGATCATCTTACACAAATTCATTTGATTAGATCTGGGTGGGGTAATAAAGTAGAGAGCCAAGTCTGATACTGTACACACAAGGCACCTGAGCATACTGATACCGCCCCTTCTGTTTCCAAGCTGCTTTGCATAAAGAAGTAAAAGACAATTGAAGGTTTTGTGTCATATTGAATGAAAGTTGCTTTCAGGGCAAGATTTTGTTTCAAATTTACATAAATTTACACTCACTCAACATAAGGAGAATGTGGACTTCACAAACTTGACATGGAGCACAAGATGAGCCAGTTTTGCAGCATTAATGAATGCTATCTATATGTCATCTCCAAGCAACAGATCACAGTCAGTCCACATTTGCACACACGCTACATTCCTGTCAACAGTTGCAGTTTTAGAGGATACACTCTTGGACTGGACTGACTAGAGTTCCCTGAAGATAATGATGCATATCACAAAACATGTGTTCACCTTGATAACCATTATCTTTCAGAGGCATACCTACCTTTTCTTCTTCTGCCTCCTGGTGGCAGGGTCTTCATCCTCTTCTTCCTCCTTCCTCAGTGCCCTGTAACCATGGTAACATATACATAGTCAGCAGGAGACACCCCAGTAATGTCTTCAGAATATATTTTACTAGTTCTGCAGGATCACTAGTTTATTTACTGCCTTCACTACTACTACTACTACCACCACCACTACCACTACTCCTGGGTTCGAATGCTGACATGGGTACAATGTGTGAAGCCCATTTCTAGTGTAGTGTCCCCCACCATGATATTGCTGGAATATTGTTAAAAGCAACGTAAAACCATACTCACTCACTCACTACTACCACTACCACTTCTACTGCTACTACTTCTTCCATGACGACTACCACTACAACGACTACGACAACTACTCCTATGACTACTACTACAAACATGTTTTCCTTTTATAATACTGATAAACTTCACAACATAAAAGAATTAGAAGAAGAATATGGCTGCTGAGCCACATGGTCAACATTTCACACACAACATCACAGACATAACTTTGTAATTTTGACAGGAAATTGCTGTACAGCATGAGCTACAATTGCTTTATTCATGGTTTGGGTAACTCCACAGCAAGTGCTTCCTCCATCATCAACTGCCAAACAGCAACATGTCAACTACTGTACAACTTCCAAACATGCTGTTGAGGTGCCATGTGGTCAGATGTGCACAGATCACAAATCAGGTAAAGTTAAGCAACGTCGGCCCCAGGAGTCCTTGGATGGGTGGCCGCAGTTTGACTCCTGAGTTTCTAGGGCTTCAGTCCTGCCCCACACTAAAGCACACGTAGCACATGTTGTGTCTCCTAGGGCAAGTGACTTTGTTCAAAATGTGCCTCTGTTCACCCAACAATGAATTGGTACCTTGTAGGTTGAGATGTGACTGGTCGTTAACCTTCTAGCGCCCAACAAGAAGCTTGGTTTATATACTCCCCAGGGAGCTGAGAATGATTCTTGAAAGCGCAATGATCCAATGACCCGGGTAATAATAGTGCTTCGAGCATGCCCCAGACTGGTGTGGAAATATGCGCAATATAAATAGCCTATTATATTATCTTTGAAACAAATTAAAAAACATACTCAGTTGCAACACCTTAACACACCAACAACCCATGCCAATACATGCTGAGTTGCAACACCCACTGACAACCCATGCCAAGACCAGTTGAGTAATTTTTCCATGTTGAATGCTGTTTACAGGACTTACGTTGCCTTGTTGATGGTGGCTGTGTAACTTGAAGATGAACCCCTAGGGGTCATCAGCATCTTCCGGAAATCTTCATTTGTGAGAGGATGGGCGTCGTCATCATCCGGATCCTGCTGGTGATTGACAGGTGGGAGGGGGTTGGAGAACACCTCCATCTCTCCTGAAACATACACCGCAGAAATCAGTTACCTGGCAACAATGGCTGATCATCGTCCAGAGCTCGTGATTAGCTGCATATTTGTGTAAAATATGCATTAAATAAACTGAAATATGAAGATAAATAGAATTAATGAGTATATCATGACTACATGTATTAGATAAACGATTGCGTAAATTACAAAGGTTACATAAATTGTTTATGTATCAGCCAATCGTCAAATTCACTTACCGGCAGTTAAATTCAGAATTTTTTTTGCGACAAACATACTGTTAGATGCCAATTGAAAGGTGAGGTGAGGTGAAATGGGGTTCAACGTCGCGTCCAAGATTATTGCACTTATATAGCGACGTGCATGTACGTGTGTGTGTTTGTGTGGCTGCTTGTACTAGTCCGGACTGATGCCGATTTATAGTGCTAGCTCACTGAGATACAATGCTGCAGTTTAAAATGAATACCCCAGTCAGACACAGTATACTGACTCCGAGCCGACCAGTCCTTGTTTTAGCCCCTTCATGCCGAGCGCCAGACAGGGTAACAACAAGTACCATCTTTTAACGTCCTTTGGTATGACGCGGCCGGGGATCGAACCCCGAAACCTTCCGCTCTCCAGGCGGATGCCAATTGAAAAGCGCATAGTGCTGAGTCAATGTACACGTTGAATCCTAATTAGTCGCTTATTGGTGATTAAAACAATAGTGCTATTCTTACAATGCTAGGTTTTGTAAACAAAAAATGGATTCATGGAGAGGATGCCGCACGCAGATGGAGACGAGTATACTTCTATTCACATAGTCTTAAATGATTTACAGGGATTGTTATGAAACAGGTTTAAAGTTAAATACCGAAATGTCAAGAAACAGGTGGGTAAAAAAATATGAATGCCCTCTAAAACTTGTGAATACCCAATCAAAATTAAAACCCTGGGTAAAATACCCAAATAACCAAGAGCTTATCTGTAGCTCTGATCATGTACAACTAGCTGACTGTCATGATTTCCATGTCACCAGATCCTAATGAGAACTGATGTCATGTCATTATTAAAATAAATTCACATATAAAAGAGATTTTGCTAGATATATATGTGATCTGAATTAGGATTTGAAATTCACATTTTTGCAAAATATTGTCACATTTTCCCAGTCAAAACTGTCATGTACACATGTATATATGTATCAAAAACATAAGTATGTTCCAAATTTTACGCAAAAGAAACCTTTTCCACGATTGGTCCATGTGATCTTGATAAAATATTATGTATCCCATCTTAGAGGGTAATAAATTTCTCAGCAGGGGAATTAATCTTTTATACCCCGCCACGAGCAATACAAGCTGCACGTGGATTTCTGAGAGACAGAATAAATCCCTTTTACCCTGCTTCAAAGCAAAAAGCTGCAACGAGTCAACTGCGGTTATCTAGTTCACCGTATAAATTTGAGCAGGATCACGAGGGGTACAAAGGGTCTAGTGCGCCCTGAGTTAGGATTCATATCACTCGACTCCAGCTCGTGGTATAAAACTTAACGAGGACGCATAGAACCGCAGGCTATATTTAGTAAACAAATATTGAAAACTCTCAACATCGCTGGGCTTATTCATTGACATCACATGTAGAGATGAAAGATCACAATGGGGAGCTTATGCACACTCAATGATCCCTGACATCACAGGGCATTGTTTCGCCTGTCAGAACGACCTTTCACCCGACCAATCAGAGCATCGCTTACCAGATTATGAAAGTGACAGTCAGAATGTGATTTCTGATCATGCAGCCTCGAAAACTGTAACTCCTAACGATAGTTACGGGTTTAACGACTGTATCCATACAATCTAGACCATCTACTAGCCATTCCAGAATGTTCTTTTGTTCAGGTTTCAAATTTGTAATCGAGAATTTGTCAAAATATGTTTCGAAGCGTAGTCGCCAATTTGAAATTAGTGCCGTAAAGCACGAGAAAGCTGCCTTCTTATTGGTCATTCCATAAGTCGGTCGAAGTTCGCGCAAGGTCGGTCTGACGTGACCCGTAATGGGATGTCCTCAGATCTTTGTTTAGCGGTAGCGAGAACTAAGATCTGATTTGAATGAGATTGCACAATTTCACAACTTACGCCAAAGGGTATTGTGACATGTGGCTGATCAGTGTTTGTGTTTACGGCATCACATATACAAAAATATGCACTGAAAAAAACTACACTTCCCCTTATGTGTGACACGTCCAATGGGAAAAACACAAGGGTAATCAGCCACCTCTGAATAGGATGTATGAAGGTGGTGTTGGTGGCCGTGATGTAGGGTCTAGGGCTAGGAAGTTAACTCGGGTACTTGGGTGGGTACTGAGAAGGACCCGGGTACCCACAGGACTACCTGGACCTGCGGCTAGTCATGCAATATATTGTTTAAAGACAAAAATTATCTGGAACTATATGACAGGGGTTGAAAAGTTATTTTAAAATGTACTTATCAAAGATTAAGCTTATATACTCAGTTAAATGTTACATCTACAGAACACTAACTCGGTAATAGCGCGGTAACGCATGGCTCCCAAAATTGACTTACATATTTAATAAACTAAAGTTTTACACTGACACATTTTTCCCCAATCTCAAAGAACATGATCACTGCGAGCACGTAAATCTGGAAATACCAATCAACAAATCCGAACTGAAGTACACAATTTAATCCCATTATTATACTATCTGGTTATAAAAATGTGCTCATTGTATATCTGGACTGGCATTGTGTGTACGTATCTGGACTTATGTTTGTAATATATTTTATTCATTTTATTCAAAATTTCATTCAACATTTTTTTACATTCATTACAGCGAAATCGTGTGTGAAGTGATCAGTAGATCATTACCCTCCTGGTAAATAGAGGTGCCGTTTTCGCCTGTCACATAGTAGCCTTTTTCGCCAAATGCGGTGCCGTTTTCGCCAGAGAAATCGGTGACGTTTTGCTGAGGTGCCGTTTTAGCCTGCACCCTTTGCAAGTTACCATGTAAGTCAAATTTCATTTATTTTACCGAGGTAAATAAAATAAGGTGCAGTTTACGCCAGACAATAGTAGCTGTTTTCATTTTCGCCAATCGGTGCTGTTTTCGCCCGGTGACATTTTGCTGAGGTGCCGTTTTAGCTATAACCCAATAAGGTTACACTACAAGTTATTAATGTTCGCATTTCTCTCTGACTATGCAACAATTCCTTCTGAATTTTACATGTTTGAATAAAGATAAAACTTCAGTCAAATTCAGTGTATGCATGACCAAATCGTTTCATAATTGTATCTAAATACATTTTGTCCAGGGCTACGGTCAAACTGTTCCCAATCGGACATTTTGTACCAATTTCTTGAGATCTACATCGGGTACCGGGGAGTAAATTTGGACTCGTTTGTTTGTTGTTTAACGCCACACTCAGCAATATTCCAGCCATTTGACGGCCAATTTGGACTCGTCTCATGCCTAGTAGGGTCATGTCTTGACTGTAGGACCCCATCGCGTCTCTCGGCTAGTGCATCCGATGAAGTGTAGTGAGTAAAATTAGGCAAATGTCTTGTGCATAAAACTTGAGCTTGGACCTGGTCATGTGATATCATAGCGTGTATGTGTTTAATTCATCAATCTAACAGGTCTCTATTGCAGTCTTTTCCTCAACTACATTCCTCAAAGCAACTGCATATGTACAAAAACTTCACTTGAAAGTATTGTTTTCAACTGCCAACATAGTTTAAGTGAAAATAAACATACGTTCTGGCATGTTGCTGTCTTTGTTTATCAACCTGCAGTGCCAAACGTTTACGTTCTTAAGTTGACTTCCGCTTCGTGAAAAGATCAACAACGCGATATCTCGTCAAGAGCGAGAAAAATATGGATGTACTATATTCATATCAACCCCTTCAAATATAAAACATTAAGAACGAGCGTCAGTAAGTTTCCGATAGAAGTAAATACGTGGTCACTTTATTAACGTTTACACTCCATCATTGAAGTCAAAACATTTTTGCAGCTTTTTTTCATCATATTTGATGTCCTGTTATAAACCATAACTGTGTCGCGATGATAATGTAAAAGCAGAGACCATATACCGATATATATGGTCTCTGGCAAAAGGGACAACAAAACAGATACAATTTACGATAACATTTACGATAAATTAATAATAGTATGGTCTTGTCCAAATATCAGAACGTTAAGAACCTTTTTTCATATATATAAAAGACTAGACCCATTATATTTTATATTTATTAATTTTCTGGGCTCATATGCCAATAAACAAGCGCCTAGGTTCATTGGAGGTCAACTATAAAATAATGTGTCAGTTTATCAAATACGATTTCTCTTATTGTGCAATGGGTGTTAATTTAGCTTGTCAAAACAAATAAAGAACTTGCCAGAGTTAATTTTACTGTTCATCCTTAAAAGACGAATGAATTTGGCCCGCATGCTCTGTTGTACTGAATGATATGTTCTCTGTATATATGTGTTTTAAGCAGACTGTTTGAATTGGGTTCAATTGTTATGGTGTTGTTTAACGCCGCACTCAGCACCATTCCAGCTCTATCGCGGCGGCCTGTAAATGATCAAGACTGGGTAAGGAAAAACAGTTATTGATAACATGAGCAACATCCCCTAAATAGTATCTAAAAAGTAAATGGTTTGGCTGAAACGGGGTAATAAAATGCACCACACATTTTCATACATTTATAATAATAAAAGAGTTTTAAATATATACCTGATATCTGTGGCTATACTGTAGGTAATATTAATTTGGGCCTAAACAAATGTATTTCAGTTGGAGTACAATGCAGTATTCCTGAACCACGAGTATTTATAGAATAATATTGACATTTGTGTTAAATGTGTTGTTTATTGTTTATATTAATCATGGATGCATGGTTACGTGGATACAATATCTACCAACATTTCATAACCAAGATAATATCTTGATGCAAATATTTGACAATATTTCACAGGCATCATATGCGTTAAATAAAACAACTGAAGTTTGTTCGAAAGGAAGTAGTATCTCATAACCGGAAGTGATATTTGATTGGCAGGAGAGCACCTGTACTACTCGGCGGTTGCTTCAAAATATTTTTGTTGTGGTAGGACTAGTCTATGGGCTTCTTTGTTTGAAATCTGTTGCATTCCTGCAGGAATCGCTATGTCGTTTTCAAAAGCAAGTCTGAAACGATTCAACGAGGTCAGAGGTGTGTATGTTCCCCACAGGGCGATTCTCATTAAATGATCCATCAAGAAAAACAACACATTTTTTTATAGCCGGTGACACTAATACGAGTTATAGACCGCTTTAAACTTACCTTTTAACTTTATATTGTGTGCATGACATCTTGAGGAAAGAAATAGGGTTTTGTGTTATTTGTTCAATGTCTATTTGTTAGATCCTAACCTATTCCTAAGCTAATTCGTAAGCAAAAACCCTATTCAAAGGCCATGATTTACAGATATGGCATATGCCCAATTTTATTATGTCACCTGTGTTAATTGTCTTTTCACATCAAAAGTTGAAATCTAGGGAATTACAGACCTCAACAGTCTTTCCACCATGAAAGGTCTACGTCCTGACTTATGAAAACCCTTACCATGCACATTATCTGCGACCTCAAATGAACAAAATACTAGGACGAGTCCAAATGTACTACCCAGGTACCCGACCCCCTATTATCCAACCCTCCCCGGGTAGCCACTGCAGGTCTAAAGAGGTGGGAACAAAATGTCTGATTGGGAATTTTTACTGCAGCAATGGCCAAAATTATTTAAATATACATCTATCACACGATCAGATCATGCGTACACTAAAGTTGATTGAAGCTTAATCTTTCCTCAAACATATACGGATACAAGTCAAAATGAATGCTTGCATCGTCAGGAAGCAATGCGAACATTAGTGACCTGTAGTGTAACCACAGAGCTATAGTGAGTTTTTGTCATTAAACAATATATCATGTGACTAACCACATGCCCGTATAGTCCTGTGGGTACCCAGGTCCTGCTCAGGACCCACCTGACCCGAGTAGCCGAGTTACTTGTCCCAGCCACAAAATACCCTCAAGTACACACCTACTCTTAATGCTTATTAGCATGCACAAAGATCATCTTCCCAAGGCAAGAGAGTTAACTGACTTTATAAGTCCAGTTTCCATCCTTACCGAGCTATGCTGGAAATTCCTAGGCTCGATCGTAGCACCACAAGTGCCTATTACAAGTTATGTCCCTTCTAGCCTCTCCTATGGACCAATCAGATTCCACCTCTTGTATCACTTGCATTTGCTTCAAACAAAACGGCGGCACCCAGTCAAGGCGATCTGATCGATTATCAAGATCTATATATATTGTGATAAAATGACTTACCTTGTGAAGTGCATCAAATCACGTGAGCACCTTGGTTAAAAACATGAAAAGATTTAGAAAATATCTGTTGACAATGAGTTAGCGGTGCACATGCCTTGCAAATCCTCCAATCAACTGAAATCTGCTTGACAGTTTACGAACCGGATCTCGATTTCGGAGTGCGATTTTGATTGGACTATGCATAGACTCGTTAGTCCAGCCAAAATGTAACTCCATAATACCAGCCTAGTTCGGTAAGGGTGGAAACTGGACTTTTATAGTCAGTTAACTCTCTTGCCTCGGGAAGATGACAATAGATTAGCTGTGCACCAGTTTAGTTATGCTCTGCTTTTAGTTTTACATTAAGGGTTAACGGTCGTTAATACATTAATACAAGTCATGCCTTCATTACATTCTGCCAAAGCCAACCGTTGGATACAGTCTGTTCCTTAAACGTTTCCTTCATTGTAAGTACAGTATAGTGTTATCATATGGTATTGTATTAGCTGAGTTTACAAGACATCACCACAACTCCCGTCCAATGACGATTTTACACCAGACTTCAGAATAGCTCCTTCAAAGTGCAAAAGGGGCGGTCGGGTAGCCTAGTGGTTACAGCGTTTGCTCGTCACGCCAAAGACCCGGGTTCGATTCCCGACATGGGTACAATGTGTGAAGCCCATTTCTGGTGTCCCCTGCCATGATATTGCTGGAATATTGCTAAAAGCGGCGTAAAACCATACTCACTCAAAGTGCAAATTAAGGTATAACATGACAATTTTCACAGCTTGATCTTAAAGCTTGTATATTGGTATGATTATATAATAAGAGGACCAATGCCCCCATTTTCTACTAGAAAGACATTTTTTTATATAATTCTCCTGTCTTAAGCATCAATAAAAAGCTTATCCATCATTGATATATCAGCAATATTAAATGTGTAATCTAAAGCAGAAACTGTCACAGCTAAATGTTAATTCGCAACAAGATTCAAGTTACGTTTGACAACTACCCAAGTTCAACAATAAATAGCTGGGTGAGGTAACCATAGCAACAATATTTTGAAGTATTGTAATATCCAGTTTTGCATTGTGTTGTAACACATTTTACGAAGTTTTTAATCAATATCAATTATTACCCCTATTTCCCAAACCATTTACATGAAACAAGTCACTGTTTGTTTAGCTGTTAGCAACATAGGTGGTGTACAATGGACATGATGGAGTAAATATATGTTTAGATTTGAAAGAAACTACTTATTTCATCAAAATGTGTCTGCCAAACATGGCAAAAGGATTCTACACTGTCATTAAGCATGCTAAGTGTTTGTATCGATCCCTCAGTCTGTGCCCCACCTGTTGGTGCTTATGACCCTAGAGAGCTGAAGTCTGCACATGGTGGCGCCTTCGTGAAGTCAGACAGGTTCAACATTGACAAAGGTAAGAAAAGAGCAATTTGCATGTTGATGTACCACATCACTTAATCATCCAGTATGTAAGTCCCCACCCAAGGGACGGGCGGTTAGCCCAGTGGTTAAAGCGTTCGCTCATCACGCCGAAGACCCAGGTTCGATTCCCGACATGGGTACGTTGTGTGCCCATTTCTGGAGTCCCCCGCCGTGATATTGCTGGAATATTGCTACAAGCGGTGTAGAACCATACTCACTCACTCACTCACTCCAGTATCACCCAGAATACAGGTCATATGGCTATTACCATGGTTACTGCCTCATTCATTAATGAACAGTGTAATTTCAGCCGTATAGCGACTGGGGTCCTGGATTTGAATCTAAGGACTCTAAATCTTTAACTTTTAGCACTGAGTTAGGACTAGGACCCCTTTGATCTGGTGTAGAATAGATCTTCAGCAACCCATGATTGCCGTAAGAGGCGACTAACGGGATTGGGAGGTCAGGCTCGCTGACTTGGTTGATGCATGTCATTGATCCCAAGTGCGTGGATCGATGCTCATGATGTAATTCACTGGATTGTCTGGTCTAGGCTTGATTATTTAGTAGAATGGTGGTGCTCTACACCGAATACTAGATATAATATAGATATAATAGATATGATAATAATATATTATGACACACTGTTAAGTTAAAAGCATTTGACTTTTTGAGTCAATCAGTAGATATTGATTATCACTCTTGATTATTGGTGCAATTATTTTCAAGAAATCTCAATTATCAATTTAATTTTGAAATCCACACCCTCCGCGAAGCAGTACACTCCAGTTGTTCTATGGAATTCTCACTTGGGCAATTTACAAAATGTCTAAATATTTCAGGGTTTTTTACAAATTGACTGAAAAATATTTCCTTTTGTTTTATTATGACGATGAATTCCAAACTGTAAATGTTATGATTAAAAGAAAACAAAAGTCAATGAATATTTTTGTAATTTTTTTGGCTTCTAATCCCAGCATAATTAGCCTGTTGAGATGGTTTTCAGCCCTTTTTAACTCAATAACTTTCAGCATATTCAGTCAATCTGTCATATAAATGGATAGATTATTCAGTCAATTAGTTAATGACATTTTAAACTTTGACTGATTTTATACATTGACTGTAGCATGTATATAGACTATATATAGAATAAAATACAAGCCTCGAGGAATTACATATGACCCTCATGAATATCGAAAATCACACCCCTTTGTATAAAATCTGTTCAGGGTTCATGGATAATCTATAATTGGTTATTCTTGGTTATTCTGTAAATTAATAGCTGAGCTCCTACTAGACAAATAAAGTTTTGGGTAAGTAACATAGTGCCAAAGCTGACATTCAGTGTTTGATTCTTTGTTGTTAACAGAGTTTGGCCCCAGCCCTGCAGACTTCGACATCAGTACATGTAGCGTCATCAGTGGCGCTGGCGTCAGCATGTTGGCGGGGAACCAGCACGGCCCTGGGGTGTTCTCCAGCACCCCCAGGAAGAAATCCTTGTCCCACGCTTCCAGCACAGAAGTAGGTCATCAAATTAACTGTCGGGCAGAATTTTGTGAAGCTGATTTGTTAATGCTAACATCACAATCTTAATACCTGAAACATTTCGCTGTCTTTGGACCTGGGATGGAACAAGTCCCCACACCACGTTCCTGGGCATGTTTCTGATTGTGTGTTTCTTATGGCTTGGGTTGATGCTCATGCTCTCAGTCACTGGTTGGACTGACCCAGATGTGTTGTTTGTTGTTGTTGTATAGCTGGGCTATCGCTGATGCATTCACAATACTTTGGGTTTTTCTTGTGTCTTGTCTAATTTTTTTGGGCAATATTTTTCAACACATTTTAGGCTTAACATGTTACAGTAGAACATGGATAGAACGAACATGGATATAACAAACATGGATAGAGCAAACATGGATAGAGCGAACAAATGGATACAAGGAACTTTTACAAAATCCTGATTTGTCTCCGCTATATTATCATATAAAATGTGCGTATATAACAAACTCTCTACAGCCAACTAACGTATATAGCGACCTGACATCTGATCCCTGACAAGCCCATCTACCACTAATTAGTGACGTGTATAGCGAACTGAGAATTCCGACTCAGTGTCAAGTGTCACGGACAATTGGCTATATGCAATCAGCGGCAAATCAACACAATCAAGATGATTCAAACTTGTTGAACTTGCTTTATGCTTATCTTACCTGTAACTAAACTAATCTTGTCTGCAGTGTAAGACAAACATAAATTCACGAGATTATGTCAAAGCGTCACTTCACTAGCACATGCTATCATGGCGGGCAATGCTGCGATTATGTGCATTGTGTTTGTTTTATCCAAGATGGCTGACGTTTCCGAGCGAAAATGTATGTAACAAACAATATATATAACAAACTGATTTCACCGGTCCTTTGTAGTTCATTATATCCATGTTCTACTGTATTACATTTGTTGAAATTTTGTTAGCTACAAGTCCACAGCCTAATTCTAAGTTTCTGCTTGCTGAACTGGGTACGAACCTATTTATCCTACCTCCATGTCAGAATGATGAGATCTGATTGGTCCACGTGATCTTGATAAATACTGTGTAGGGTAATAAATTTCTCAGCAGGGGAATAAATCTTTTATACTGCAGTGAGCAATAGAAGCTGCACGTGCATATCTGAGAGGCTGAATAAGTCCCTTATACCCCGCTTCAAAGCAAAAAGCAGCATGCTATTTTCAAGTCAATGGAAGTCACGTGACTTAGCACATGTATGTCACTGATGTCACACTGTGTGTCACACTATGCTTCCAGTCACTGAAGGAGAGGAAGGGGAGATCACTGGAGGAGGCTATAATGCAGAGTAAACTCAAGGAACTTGAGCGAGAGGTAAGGATAATGTTTCATGAGACAGGGTTCGGAAGTACTCGTGCTGCCATGCCCGCTGCACACCTAAAACAGGAAATGGCATACCGTACTCGACGTAATAAGCGCCCAGGGAGCTCTCAAAATTAGAAATAGAGGGCTCTTATTAGAATATAATTTTGGTGAGATTAAAAACGAGGTTGAAAGATTGTAAATTTTGTGGTTTATGCAGACAGCCTGAAATGAAATAAAAAGAAGAATCTGTGTGTTATACACGATAGATATATTTTCGAGAATTTAATTGCCCATAATTAAGGGTGTATATATAACAAACGAGTGCGTATTATACACGAATAAATAAGTCTTGTGTACATTGATCAATCGGAAAGGGTGCTAACTGGGATTGTTCACTAGCCAATATATTAGCGAATAACGCCGTTGGCGTTTATTACGTCGAATACGGTGCTTGAATTCTATGTACAGTGCCTCGTGGGCGCGGTCATTTTCATAAAAAGTACTTATGTTAACTTTCTTTGGTCTCTGACAAAATTCAACGGTGAAATGAAAGAGTTTCCCCCATTAGTTGCATGTTCCACTATCGCTAAACGACTTCCCTTTGAAATATTAATCGGCATTATTCGGTGATGTCTGTTGACTGTATCTTACAGGGGAGATGGTTAAGATTGCATGAAATACATTTGAATGTAATCGAAGGTTTCCATATTTTGATGGAATATTGTAAATATTACTTAGGTCTTGCGTTTTAAACACGTGGTTATTCGTGTTGACTGTTGTGAAACACCTAGCAGACAATCACTATATTGTTATAATAATTGGGTAATATTGCGCCCTTTGAAATAAAAAGCATTTTGATCAAGTCAGTATTGTCAGATTTAGTGCCAGTTGGTGGTTGCTGTTGTTAACGAAAGACACAAGTAAATCAACCATACCATTTCCATTGAGAGTTGATATGAGTGAGTGAGTAAGGTTTTACGCCGCTTTTAGCAATATTCCAGCAATATCACGGCGGGGGACACCAGAAATGGGCTTCACACATTGTACCCATGTTGGGAATCGAACCCGGGTCTTCGGAGTGCCGTGCGAACGCTTTAACCACTAGGCTACCCGACCGACCCTGGAGAGTTGATATGAAATTACTTGTTATGGCCTAGACCCTTAAGCTGGGGCCATCTTAATATAATAAACATTAATAAAAATGAATACAATGGAACACAATGAGCAAGGTGACTGTAAACCAACGTCTCTTAGTCACATTTGACAGCACTGACCTCAATGACCAGAGTGTTCTGAAGGATCCTGATGTAAGGTGCGTCCTGAGATGCCACAGATGGTTCACAATTCCCTGTGTCCGAGCGCATAGCCTAGGGTAAAATGAGGGGGCACGGGTGGCCCAGTCGTCAAAGGTGCCGCAATTTGGTTTGCAGAGTTCATTCCCTTGGGCACATCAGAAACCTATGATTGTGGTTTCAAACCCCGGTTCGCCCCGATTATGTTTCTAGGTTTGTCAGTACCATACCCGTGCTCGTGGGTTTCACCGAAGTGGTAAATGTCTGAGACCTGCATTACTTAGGGCTTTCCTCCCACATTAAGCTGACACGCCACGATATAACTGGAATACTGTTAAAAGTGGCGTTAAACCCAACTCACTCACTCACTCGGGTCAAATGACTTCTTGGCGCCTGCATGACACACTTTGAAATCTGTTTGTTTAATAATGTGTATTACATAAATGTACTTTCATACAAATATACTGGAAAGACACGTATAAATTGAAATATGAATTCTTTGCACAAAGTTAAACGGGTATGATTAATCTCAATGAGAAGGAACTCCAGGAAGGAAGGAGTTCTTTAGCTCCTGTTGAAAGGTCAGGCTGGAGACACTGAAGTAACCATGGTAACTGTTGTCAGATCAAGAAGCTTCTACAGGACAAGACAGATCTCAACAAGCAGGTCGGCACCAAGGAGGAAGACATGAAGAGGCTGGAGGGACGCCTGCAGCATGCACAGTCCGACCGCACCGCCCTCATTGCCAAGGTGGCCACGCTCGAGAAGGACATCAAGGATGTCAACAAGAGCAACTCCGTACTGAAGAATAAGGTATGTTTCACATAGATATTCCATACTGAAGAGACGTCGCTATATAAGTGCAATAATCTTGGACGCGACGTTAAACCCAATTTCACCTCACCTCACCATACTGAAGAATAAGGTACGTTTCACATAGCAATTCCATACTGAAGAATAAGGTATGTTTCACATAGCAATTCCATACTGAAGAATAAGGTGCATGTTTCACATAGCAATTCCATACTGAAGAATAAGGTGCATGTTTCACATTGCAACTCCCTACTGAAGAATAAGGTACGTTTCACATAGCAATTCCATACTGAAGAATAAGGTATGTTTCACATTGCAACTCCCTACTGAAGAATAAGGTACGTTTCACATAGCAATTCCATACTGAAGAATAAGGTGCATGTTTCACATTGCAACTCCCTACTGAAGAATAAGGTACGTTTCACATAGCAATTCCATACTGAAGAATAAGGTGCATGTTTCACATTGCAACTCCCTACTGAAGAATAAGGTACGTTTCACATAGCAATTCCATACTGAAGAATAAGGTGCATGTTTCACATTGCAACTCCCTACTGAAGAATAAGGTATGTTTCACATAGCAATTCCATACTGAGGAATAAGGTACATGTTTCACATAGCAACCCTGTACTGAAGAATAAGGTACATGTTTCACATAGCAACTCTGTACTGAAGAATAAGGTACGTTTGACATTGCAACTCTGCACTGAAGAATAAGGTACATGTTTCACATAGCAACTCCATACTAAAGAATAAGGTACATGTTTCACTTAGCACCTCTGAACTGAAGAATAAGGTACATTTCGAATAGCAGCTCTGTACTGAAGAGTAAGGCACATTTCACACTACACTGGTGTGGCCTTGTCCTTGTGTAGTGTGACCTTGTCCTGGTGTAGTGTGACCTTGTCCTGGTGTAGTGTGACCTTGTCCTGGTGTAGTGTGACCTTGTCCTGGTGTAGTGTGACCTTGTCTTGGTGTAGCGTGACCTGGTGTAGTGTAACCTTGTCCTGGTGTAGTGTGACCTTGTCCTGGTGTAGTGTGACCTTTTCCTGGTGTAGTGTGACCTTTTCCTGGTGTAGTGTAACCTTGTCCTGGTGTAGTGTGACCTTGTCCTGGTGTAGTGTGACCTTGTCCTGGTGTAGTGTGACCTTGTCCTGGTGTAGTGAGACCTTGTCTTGGTGTAGCGTGACCTTGTCCTGGTGTAGCGTGACCTTGTCCTGGTGTAGTGTGACCTTTTCCTGTGTTTTATTTCAACAAGACACGGTGACCAGTATGAAGTTTACTCCTGTAGGTGACGGTGACGGAGGGAACTGTCAAGAAGAAAGATGACAAATTACAGGCAGAACTGACAGATGCGAGGAATAAGTTGGAGAAGAAAGACAAGGAGATCAGTGGTCTGAAACACGACATGGAGGAGGCCGTCTCCCTTCTGCTACGTGACCTTCGAGAGGTCACCTGCCTGGCAGACAAACTTAACAACAAGGTGTCCGAACTAGGTGGGTGGTATGACCATTTATCCTTCAAGTTTGCAGGGGGCAGTGGTGGCCCAGTCGTCTAAGGCGCCGCGATTCGCTGTGCAGAGTTGCGTCCCTTGGGCACGCCAGAAACCTATGATTATGTTTCTAGGTTTGTCAGCACCATACCCGTGTTCGTTGGTTTCACCGAAGTGGTAAACGTCTGAGACCTGCATCACTTCGGGCTTTCCTCCCACATTAAGCTGACACGCCGCAATATAACTGGAATACTGTTAAAAGCGGCATTAAAAACCCAACTCACTCAAGTTTGCAAATTAGAAACGGCACTGTTCAATATTTTTAGTGATGCTAGTGAACAAGAGTTTACAAGCAGTGAACGACATGGATGTCTTGGCAAATCGACTTTTCCTATAATAGTTATAGGATTATTTTTGCAACACTAAGCTAATGAATAAATGTATCACTACGCATAATGTACCGTAAGACTTCAACAATTTGGGTGTGTTTGTTTCTATATGAGGAAACCTTTAATGTGGCAATGACAAACAGATTTCATCTTTTCTCTCAGAACGAAGCTTTGAGGATGAAAAAGATCAAGATTCCACAGAAAATGCAAAAGGTTGGTGAAAGAGTTTGTGTCCTGCACGACCATTATGACTCTAGTCTTAACGTGTCTTATGACCCGTGAAGATCTGGGGTAGAATAGGTCTTAGCAACCCATGCTTGCCGTAAGAGGCGACTAACAGTATCGGGTGGTCAGGCTCGCTGACTTGGTTGATGCATGTCATTGTATCCCAATTGTGTGGATCGAAGCTCATGATGTCAATCACTAGCTTGTCTGGTCCAGTCTCGATTATGTACAGACCACCGTCATATAGCTGGAATACTGGTGAGTGCGGCATTAAACAACAAACAAACAAACTTAATGTGTCTTATATGTTCAAACCGTACTTTGTCCTCATAACAATATAAAGGGATTTTTCCCTCAAGATTTGTACAAAAATGAATTTATGGAGAGGAAAGAGGAAAGGGTATGGGGTGGCCATAAGCCTACTTTCAACCAAGGACACCTTTGTTCCAGAAAAACAGATAAGTGAAGTATGGCTCTCTGTTATACAAAACTGAAATTAGTCTGGCATGAAGGAGATGTGATCATTAAATGTCAGGATGTGTGTATGCTTCAGAGCAAAGATCGACGGCAGCAGGGAAGGGTGACCTTGACCTTCTGGGGAAGGTCAACAAGGCAAGAGATGATACTCAGGTAACACCAAAAGCTGAAACCTTGTGCATCCTTGAGATAGTAAGGTTGTGCTACAATACCTGAAAACTCACTATTTGGCATTTTGGAAACACTTCATTAAACCTATGCTGGTTGTAAGAGGTGATGGTCATGCTGAGTGTCTTACTGCGTGTCATCGTACCCTGACGGCGTGGATAGCTGTTCACAATATCAATCACTGGATTGTCTTGGCCAGACTGGTTTATTTGCTGCTGCTGTCATATAGTTGGAATATAGCTGAGGGCGGCGTTAAACAACAAACAAACAAACCTTTTTCGGAACCCCCTCAGGATAATTCAGTCTATAACCCATTTTGAAGTAAACCTCGAGTGCATGTTACTTTATTTATTGTCTTCAATAACAAACAAATAATGTTGATGAAGTACTGAAGATTCTATGGTGATGTTTCTTAAAGAAAATCAAGTTGTCGCTGCACGAGATCCGTGGGACGGCGGAGCGGAAGGTGCGTGAGATGAAGATGCGGATGCGGGAGAAGTACGAGGGTGCGGTGGAGAAGCTGGAGCAGCTGGCGGAGGACCTGCAGCGGAAGGACGACAACCTGGAGAGCTCAAAGATCTGTAGTGAGGCCCTGCAGACCTACAGGTACCAGTGAACACGTTCTTGTTTCTTGTTGTAAGTACAGACCACATTGACACCCTATTGACTTACTCAAACCAAGGCCAATTACATTAAGTAATACGTTACCACCAATATCACATGTACTGAATACTATATCTTGTTGTATAGTACAGACCACATTGACACCCTATTGACTCACTCAAACCAAGGCCAATTACATTAAGTAATACGTTACCACCGATATCACATGTACTGAATACTATATCTTGTTGTATAGTACAGACCACATTGACACCCTATTGACTTACTCAAACCAAGGCCAATTACATTAAGTAATATGTTACCACCGATATCACATGTACTGAATACTATATCTTGTTGTATAGTACAGACCACATTGACACCCTATTGACTCACTCAAACCAAGGCCAATTACATTAAGTAATACGTTACCACCGATATCACATGTACTGAATACTATATCTTGTTGTATAGTACAGACCACATTGACACCCTATTGACTCACTCAAACCAAGGCCAATTACATTAAGTAATACGTTACCACCGATATCACATGTACTGAATACTATATCTTGTTGTATAGTACAGACCACATTGAAACACCCTATTGACTCACTCAAACCAAGGCCAATTACATTAAGTAATACGTTACCACCGATATCACATGTACTGAATACTATATCTTGTTGTATAGTACAGACCACATTGACACCCTATTGACTCACTCAAACCAAGGCCAATTACATTAAGTAATACGTTACCACCGATATCACATGTACTGAATACTATATCTTGTTGTATAGTACAGACCACATTGAAACACCCTATTGACTCACTCAAACCATGACCATTTACATTAAGTAATACGTTACCACCGATATCACATGTACTGAATACTATATCTTGTTGTATAGTACAGACCACATTGAAACACCCTATTGACTCACTCAAACCAAGGCCAATTACATTAAGTAATACGTTACCACCGATATCACATGTACTGAATACTATATCTTGTTGTATAGTACAGACCACATTGACACCCTATTGACTCACTCAAACCAAGGCCAATTACATTAAGTAATACGTTACCACCGATATCACATGTACTGAATACTATATCTTGTTGTATAGTACAGACCACATTGAAACACCCTATTGACTCACTCAAACCATGACCATTTACATTAAGTAATACGTTACCACCGATATCACATGTACTGAATACTATATCTTGTTGTATAGTACAGACCACATTGAAACACCCTATTGACTCACTCAAACCAAGGCCAATTACATTAAGTAATACGTTACCACCGATATCACATGTACTGAATACTATATCTTGTTGTATAGTACAGACCACATTGAAACACCCTATTGACTCACTCAAACCAAGGCCAATTACATTAAGTAATACGTTACCACCGATATCACATGTACTGAATACTATATCTTGTTGTATAGTACAGACCACATTGACACCCTATTGACTTACTCAAACCAAGGCCAATTACATTAAGTAATACGTTACCACCGATATCACATGTACTGAATACTATATCTTGTTGTATAGTACAGACCACATTGAAACACCCTATTGACTCACTCAAACCAAGGCCAATTACATTAAGTAATACGTTACAACCGATATCACATGTACTGAATACTATATCTTGTTGTATAGTACAGACCACATTGAAACACCCTATTGACTCACTCAAACCAAGGCCATTTCTGTACTTAGCATAACACAGTTGTGGAGATGAACAAAGCCAGTCTCCACATGATAAAATCCTATATCACATGTACTGAATACTATATCTTGTTGTATAGTACAGACCACATTGAAACACCCTATTGACTCACTCAAACCAAGGCCAATTACATTAAGTAATACGTTACCACCGATATCACATGTACTGAATACTATATCTTGTTGTATAGTACAGACCACATTAACACCCTATTGACTCACTCAAACCAAGGCCATTTCTGTACTTAGCATAACACAGTTGTGGAGATGAACAAAGCCAGTCTCCACATGATAAAATCCTCAAATGCTTTGTTTGTTGTGTGTATGTGAAGGGTTCGCATTCACTTGATTCAGCTGTGATGTGTAGTCCATGGATTGTTTTGTGTTCACAGATGTAACATTCACTTGATTCAACTGTGTTGTGTTGTGTTGTGTTGACAGAGATGCTCTGAAGTCCCAGAACAAAGGCCTGCAACTGGCGGTGACTCGTCTCCGCATGGAACAGTGGGAGTGTGAAGACACCATCAGGTACTGAATACTATGTCACATGTACTGAATACTATATCACATGTACTGAATACTGTATCACATGTACTGAAAACTGTATCATATGTACTGAATACTGTATCACATGTACTGAATACTGTATCACATGTACTGAAAACTGTATCATATGTACTGCATACTATATCACATGTACTGAATTCTGTGTCACATGTACTGCATACTATATCACATTTACTGAATACTGAATACTGTATCACATGTACTGAAAACTGTATCATATGTACTGCATACTATATCACATGTACTGAAAACTGTATCATATGTACTGCATACTATATCACATGTACTGAATTCTGTGTCACATGTACTGCATACTATATCACATTTACTGAATACTGAATACTGTATCACATGTACTGAATACTATATCACATGTACTGAATACTATATCACATGTACTGAATACTGTATCACACGTACTGAATACTGTATCACATGTCCTGAATACTGAATACTATATCACATGTACTGAATACTGAATACTATATCACATGTACTGAATACTGTATCACATGTACTGAATACTGAATACTATATCACATGTACTGAATACTATATCACATTTACTGAATACTGAATACTATATCACATGTACTGAATACTGAATACTATATCACATGTACTGAATACTATATCACATGTACTGAATACTGAATACTATATCACATGTACTGAATACTGTATCACATGTACTGAATACTGAATATTATATCACATGCACTGCTGATACATTTATGATACTTCAGAGGACTTTCCGTAAGCTTAGACAGGAAATCAAATATAAATAACATATTTCATAAGTTCATGTCCTTTGAAATTAAAACAATAATTTAAATAACTTTAGAGCAATGGGGACATGAATATGCCATCAATCATGTCCCTTTTGAACTTAATAAACTTGAGATGTCTTGGAGTAAAAGACTCAATTTTTCATCTTATCCTATCTCACACTATGCATTCCTTTTTATTCTTCTATCCTGGTGTGGTGTCTGAAGTGTTGTTGAAGTCGTGTAAAATTGAAAAAAATAACAATATTCTCTGTTCGCGTATGTGCCCGAACACCGGGTGATAGATTTGAGAGTGAGGGGTGCTGGATATGTCAGATGATGAGATCGCAGGGGTCGTGTAGCACGGGATTGCAGTGGTTCGTGACCCGTGATCACAGTGGTGACTTGGTGGTGTATGGGATGTGTTGGGTGAGTGGTGTTTTTTGAAGCTGGAAACTTTGAAACCAGTTTCGAAGAATAAGAAGAAATGCATAGTGTGAGTTAGGATAAGTATATAAATATACAATTTATTAGAATATTTACAATTTACCAAATTGTAGGTCTCTCAAGGGTGAGATTTTTGCACTGAGCGATGAGAAAGAGATTTATGAACAACAGTCGTTCGAGTCGAATGCAGAGCTGGCAACACACATGGAGAAGATAGAGCAGCTCGAGGAGTAAGTTCAAACATGGCGTTAAATGGGATTAGATCCCAAAATCTTTCTGACTTTTCACTGTATGAACACTGTGTAAGAATGCTTTACTTGGTTAGTACCTATGATTGTGGGTTTGATTCCTGGTTTGCACCGACTATGTTTCTAGGCTTGTCAGCACCATACCCGTGCTTTTGGATTTCACCAAAGTGGTAATTTTCTGAGACCTGCATCACTTTGGGCTTTCCTCCCACATTAAACTAGCATGCCATGTTATAACTGGAATAATGTTAAAAGCGGTGTTAAACCCAACTCACTCGCTCTTTTTTCATTTTGACAATCGAGAACGTTTGTCACTCTGCATGGCAAAATGGATACCACATTAATCCAATATTATGTCAGATAGACACAATCTCTCAAGGTCAAGTCAGTAGAGGTAGGTGTCGTTAGAGAATCTCTAACGGTCTTGTCAGGAGAGGTAGGTGTTGGTAGAGAATCTCACAATGTCAATTCAGGAGAGGTAGGCGTAATCTATGTGTTTTTGTTTTTTCAGTTCTATACATTCTGAAGATGTCCATCACGTTCCTTGTTGTCCACTGTGGTTTTCAAACTTTGAATGTCTTTGTTTTACAGAAGAGAGGAGATGATGAACGTGAACATCCGAAGTCTGACTGAGAAGTATCAAATGTTGGAGCAGACGTTGGGTGAGTGAGGCTTGCAGGACATCAACAAGTGTCCTTATCATTTTTTTATATTTTTTGGGGTTGTTATAACACCATACCAGCTCTAGGACGGTGGCCTGAAAATTATCAAGTCTGGAGCAGACAATCCAGTGATTGATATTGTGAGCGACACAACACCATGGAGGTAAGATGGCACTCAATCACCTATGTCACTGAGCCTGACGACGCCTGATCCATGAAGCTGCCTCCCATGACAAGCAATGGTCCCATGACCAATGAATAGGAATCCCCATGGGGTGGTTCTTATCTTTCAACTATAGCATTTATCTATGAAATAAGCTTACCACATTGTTGTTACATTATACATGTACACCCCAATGGGATCCAAGAACATCCGGGGTAGAATAGGTCTTCAGCAACCCATGCTTGCCATAAAAGGCATCTTTGCTTGACCACACCACACCACGCCCACACCACACACGTGCATGCACATCGCTATATAAGTGCAATGATCATGGACATGACCTCAAACCCCATTTCACCTCACCTTGTGTACCTGGAGCAAATGTCCTCTCACTGTAAGCCACCAGTTTGCCAGGTCTAGGTCTTGTATGGCTGTGTGTGGCTGTGTATGGCTGTGTATGGCTGTGTGTGTTTCTGTGTATGGCTGTGTGTGGCTGTGTGTGGCTGTGTATGGCTGTGTATGGCTGTGTGTGGCTGTGTGTGGTTGTGTGTGGCTGTGTATGGCTGTGTGTGGCTGTGTGTGGTTGTGTGTGGCTGTGTATGGCTGTGTGTGGCTGTGTATGGCTGTGTATGGCTGTGTGTGGCTGTGTGTGGCTGTGTGTGGCTGTGTATGGCTGTGTGTGGCTGTGTATGGCTGTGTGTGGCTGTGTGTGGCTGTGTGTGGTTGTGTGTGGCTGTGTGTGGCTGTGTATGGCTGTGTATGGCTGTGTGTGGTTGTGTGTGGCTGTGTATGGCTGTGTGTGGTTGTGTGTGGCTGTGTGTGGTTGTGTGTGGTTGTGTGTGGCTGTGTATGGCTGTGTGTGGCTGTGTATGGTTGTGTGTGGCTGTGTGTGGCTGTGTATGGTTGTGTATGGCTGTGTGTGGCTGTGTGTGGCTGTGTGTGGCTGTATGTGGCCGCGTATGGCCGTGTATGGCTGTGTGTGGCTGTGGTACTGCCGACTACAACTTGTTTGTTTCCCACAGCGGAGGAGCAGAGCCACCACAAGGCTGAGTACGAGAAAGCCGCTGCCGAGCTTCAGGTGACCAAAGCGAGTCTACAGGAGGTGAGAGTGGAGTGTGAGACAAGTCAGAAGACCAACAAGGATCTCATACAGTCACTGAACAAGGCCAAGGTGGGGCTCAGATGGGGACAACTTCCAGAAATAACTTTAATCAGGGCAGCTTCCAAACTCAACAACTTCACACCTTGTCTGGAAGCTGGATTAGGTTTGGTGGAATTGCAGGATTTGATGATAGCCTTGTCTTACTTGAATGCACACTTCAGAAAGCCCATTATCATTTTGTATTTCTACTGATAATTTACTGAATCTTGAAGTCTACTGAAGTCCAGTATCTATTTCCAATACACCTAAACAGACACCAACAGACACCAACAGATACATTTGTCTGATATAGTCTGCTGTACATATTTGTGATGTTCGAATTGTTGATGTCATTGTGCAACCAAAGATTCCACAGTGACATCTGTGGTCAATTACTTGAGATCATTTTAAGATGTTAAATGAAATGTGGCCGCAATAACATTGAATAGAACATGTAAAACCACTGTAGTGTTATTTCCGTGACTGATACTGGAGTTTTGTTTCTCAATAGAGGAGTGTACAATTTTTCTAAGAAAGAAATCACATCATTACTTTTTGCTATTTGCGTTCATGATCAATCATTAATCTCTCATTAACTGTTTGTTTTTGTTGTTGTTGTTTAACGCAATATTCCGCTGTATGACAGCAGTCTGTAAATAATCGAGTCTGGACTAGACAATAGTGATTGACATCATGAGCATCGATCCATGCAGTTGGGATCGATGACATGCATCGACCAAGTCAGCAAGTCTGACCGATCCTGTTAGTCACCACTTACGGCAGCATGGGTTGCTGAAGACTTTAACCCCGGATCTTCAAAGGTCTCTTATTATCTGGGGGCATGGCATGATATAAGTGACATATTGATCCAGCAGCTTTACTCACTCATTGGTTGCTTTTTTGAACCAGTGATGCCCCTGTGAAGATCTGGATGAGAATTGGTCTTCAGGAACCCATTTTTGTCGTAAGAGGCAACTAAGGGGATCTGGTGGTCAGGCTTGGTTGCTGCATGTCATCATATCCCAATTGCATAGATTGATGCTCATGTCAAATACAGGAGTGTCTGGTCCAGGCTTGATTATTTACAAACTGCGGTAATATCGTTGGAATATTGCTGAGTGTGGCGTACTAACCAATGACGATACCTGAGATTTTGACCAATTCCCAACACTAGTGCATGCTTGTTTCCAGGGTAACACAGAGAATGTGACAGCTGAATTAGACAAATGCAAATCCTCACTGCAGGAGATTCAGGAGCTGGTTGATTCTCAAGCAAGAGATGTGAAGTCCAAAAATGCTCTGCTTCACGAAACACAGGACAAAATTGACAGCCTCACACAACAGGTTGCTTTAAAATCATCTCACATAGAAACACTTCAGAGTCGGTTATCTGAGACGGAGAGATCCGAGTCATCTGTGAGTTCACAGCTGTCGGAGGTCACGGGATCACACAAGAAAACTGTTGAGCTCTATCTGGAACGAATCGAGAAACTGGAGGAGGAGAAGGCTGAACTGTTGGAGGCGAAGCACAGCCTCTTGAGTGAGGTGGACAAACTGAAAGCTGAGAAGCAGGATCTTGATGTTGACCTTGAGATTAAGGAACAGCTGCTGGAACACTTAAAGATGCAGCATGAACGTGATCTTGTGCGAGAAGGTGAGAAGCTGAGTGAGCTTGAGGAGAAGTACCGTGAGTCTGAGAGTGACGTCTGTGGGAAGGTTGAGCGACTGGAGCAACAGCTGCAGATCATGGCGGTGAAGAGTGAGGCTGAGGGGACAGCACGGGAGCGGACGCTGACACAGCTGGAGGAGACACTGGAGCAGGTGAAGGCCGAGAAGGTGGAGACGGTGGCACAGCTGACGGAGTACAAGCGGAACCTCAACATGGTCACCGAGGAGCTCAACGCGGCGATGGAGGATGTAGCAAAGTATGTGTTGTAGGCATCGGTTGTTGATCTGTGGCCCTGGGTCAGCTGTTTCCGAAGTGTCTGGAGGGCCAGTTGTTTCTCAAGTGTCCCTAGGCCAGCTGTTATTGAAGTGTTCGTACTTCCAGCTGCTATTGAAATGTCTGTAGGGCCGGCTGTTATTGAAATGTCTGTAGGGCCGGCTGTTATTGAAATGTCTGTACGGCCGGCTGTTATTGAAATGTCCGTAGGGCCAGCTGTTATTGAAATGTCTGTAGGGCCAGCTGTTATTGAAATGTCTGCAGGGCCATCTGTTATTGAAATGTCTGTAGGGCCAGCTGTTATTGAAATGTCTGTAGGGCCAGCTGTTATTGAAATGTCTGTAGGGCCGGCTGTTATTGAAATGTCTGGAGGGCCAGCTGTTATTGAAATGTCTGCAGGGCTTGCTGTTATTGAAATGTCTGTAGGGCCGGCTGTTATTGAAATGTCTGGAGGGCCAGCTGTTATTGAAATGTCTGCAGGGCCAGCTGTTATTGAAATGTCTGTAGGGCCAGCTGTTATTGAAATGTCTGCAGGGCCAGCTGTTATTGAAATGTCTGTAGGGCCAGCTGTTATTGAAATGTCTGGAGGGCCAGCTGTTATTGAAATGTCTGCAGGGCCAGCTGTTATTGAAATGTCTGTAGAGCCAGCTGTTATTGAAGTGTTCGGACTTCCAGCTGTTATTGAAATGTCCGTAGGACCAGCTGTTATTGAAATGTCTGTAGGGCCAGCTGTTATTGAAATGTCTGTAGGGCCGGCTGTTCTTGAAATGTCTGCAGGGCCGGCTGTTATTGAAATGTCTGTAGGGCCAGCTGTTATTGAAATGTCTGCTATTAATGTGTTCAGCTGAATGGGGCATTGAACAATCAACAAACAAATCTCACATTGCAGTCATGTCAGTTTGGGTTGTGTGTGACCGTGCCATCTGTGGACCTATGTCACTCCACACACTGTGGGTCTGTCACTGCTCCTGCTTCAAGTGTTGAGGTGACCATTTCAGGTTGGCTGCGGAGAAGGAGAGTGAGAGACAGCAGTATGAGGAGAAGCTGGTTGTCTTGGGTCAGGAAGGAGAAAGAGAGAGGGGACAGTGGGACAGTGTGAGACAGGACCTCGTCCAGAAGCTAGAGGACATGCAGCAGCAGGCCAACGAGCTGCAGGAGCTGGTCAACAGGTATGTTGTTAGATTAGCTGCAGAAGCTGGTCAATAGGTATGTTGTCAGATTAGCTGCAGGAGCTGGTCAATAGGTATGTTGTCAGATTAGCTGCAGGAGCTGGTCAATAGGTATGTTGTCAGATTAGCTGCAGGAGCTGGTCAATAGGTATGTTGTCAGATTAGCTGTGGGAGTTAGTCAATAGGTATGTTGTTAGATTAGCTGTGGGAGTTGGTCAATAGGTATGTTGTCAGATTAGCTGCAGGAGCTGGTCAACAGGTATGTTGTCAGATTATCTGGTCAACAGGTATGTTGCCAGATTAGCTGTGGGAGTTAGTCAATAGGTATGTTGTCAGATTAGCTGCAGGAGCTTGTCAACAGGTATGTTGTCAGATTATCTGGTCAACAGGTATGTTGTCAGATTAGCTGCAGGAGTTGGTCAATAGGTATGTTGTCAGATAAGCTGCAGGAGTTGGTCAATAGGTATGTTTTTAGTAGGATGAGCTGTAGTAACGAGTCAATGTTGTCAGAAGAGCAAGGTTGGATTTTGGTACTAATTACCACTTCTTTCCACCCATGAAGATCAGGGGTAGAATAGGCCTTCGGCAACCCATGCTTGCCATAAAAGGCGACTATGCTTGTTGTAAGAGGCGGCTAACGGGATCGGGTGGTCAGACTTGGTGACTTGTTTGATGCATGTCATCGCATCCAAACTGTGTCCATTCATGCTGATGATGTCAATCACTGGATTGTCTGGTCCAGACTCAACAAATTTACAGACCGCTGTCATATAGCTGGAATATTGCTGAGTGCGGCGTTACAAAACAAACCACTTTTTTCAATCCGCCACCAAAATTGTTGTGAAATCCCTACATTGTCACACTATGATTGAGCAATTTGTGCTGAGATTAATACAAGTGTCTCCTTATCCTTCAGGATAGAGACGGAGAAGGAGATGGCAGAGCATGCTCTGAAGGAGAAACTACGAGATGCCAGGAATTCACTGACCCAGGCCCAGTCCACGCTGCAGTCCAGTCGGGCGGAACTGACCACGGAGCTCCAGGACACCAGGAACACATTACTGAAGACAGAGAAGGCACTTGGCAGGTCGGTACTCGACACCTGGGCAGATGTAGGGCTGCAGGCTGCACACAATATCCCGACACCTCACTCGGTCACCTGTAGACCCAAATATTCCGACACATGACTCATTCACCTATCGACCCCAATTTCCCGACACCTGACTCGTTCACCTGTAGACCCCAATATCCTGACACCTGACTCGGTCACCTGTAGACCCCAATATCCCGACACCTGACTCGGTCACCTGTAGACCCCAATATCCTGACACCTGACTCGTTCACCTGTAGACCCCAATATCCCGACACCTGACTCGGTCACCTGTAGACCCCAATATCCTGACACCTGACTCGTTCACCTGTAGACCCCAATATCCCGACACCTGACTCGGTCACCTGTAGACCCCAATATCCCGACACCTGACTCACCTTACTCGTTCACCTGTAGACCCCAATATCCCGACACCTGACTCGGTCACCTGTAGACCCCAATATCCCGACACCTTACTCGTTCACCTGTAGACCCCTATATCCCGACACCTGACTCGGTCACCTGTAGACCCCAATATCCCAACACCTTACTCGTTCACCTGTAGACCCCTATATCCCGACACCTGACTCACCTTACTCGTTCACCTGTAGACCCCAATATCCCGACACCTGACTCGGTCACCTGTAGACCCCAATATCCCGACACCTTACTCGTTCACCTGTAGACCCCTATATCCCGACACCTGACTCGGTCACCTGTAGACCCCAATATCCCGACACCTGACTCGGTCACCTGTAGACCCCAATATCCCGACACCTGACTCACCTTACTCGTTCACCTGTAGACCCCAATATCCCGACACCTGACTCGGTCACCTGTAGACCCCAATATCCCGACACCTTACTCGTTCACCTGTAGACCCCTATATCCCGACACCTGACTCGGTCACCTGTAGACCCCAATATCCCGACACCTTACTCGTTCACCTGTAGACCCCTATATCCCGACACCTGACTCGGTCACCTGTAGACCCCAATATCCCGACACCTGACTCGTTCACCTGTAGACCCCAATATCCCGACACCTGACTCGTTCACCTGTAGACCCCAATATCCTGACACCTGACTCGGTCACCTGTAGACCCCAATATCCCGACACCTGACTCACCTTACTCGTTCACCTGTAGACCCCAATATCCCGACACCTGACTCGGTCACCTGTAGACCCCAATATCCCGACACCTTACTCGTTCACCTGTAGACCCCAATATCCCGACACCTGACTCGTTCACCTGTAGACCCCAATATCCCGACACCTGACTCGGTCACCTGTAGACCCCAATATCCCGACACCTGACTCGGTCACCTGTAGACCCCAATATCCCGACACCTGACTCGGTCACCTGTAGACCCCAATATCCCGACACCTGACTTGGTCACCTGTAGACTCCAATATCCCGACACCTGACTCGGTCAACTGTAGACCCCAATATCCCGACACCTGACTCGGTCACCTGTAGACCCCAATATCCCGACACCTGACTCGGTCACCTGTAGACCCCAATGTCTGGTGAAAGTGTTCGCTCGTCTTGCTGAAAACCTGGGTTCAATTCCGACATGGGTACAATGTGTGAAGCCCAATTTTAGTGTCCCCAGTGCTTGTATTGCTGGAATATTGCTAAAAGCGGAGTGATACCATGCTTGCTCACTCACTCACTCACTATTATTAGTTACATTACTGTATTTTTTATAAAGAAAGTGTCCATGATATACAAGCAAATATTGTAGGTAAGCCTGTTGCTATATTTGTCATTGAACTCTCGTCCATGAAAGTATGAGGACTGTATCGGTGCGTGTGTTGTCCACAGCCTGAGGGCGGACATGATGGAGAAACAGGGGGAGCTGCAAGGCCACCTGGTGGAGGCTGAAAGGGAGGTAACCCAGTTGAGGGAGGTGAAGAACAGTCAGCAGCAGAGCCTCAAGAAGCTGGAGGCTGAGAAGGAGGCTCTTAGGGAGGAGAGAGACAGGTACATACAGGCCATTTGATACATGACTCAGATTTTACTGATTTTCAACATCACTTTTATTATATTGGTTGATATATGATTACACAAAAGACATTTTTCGCCGCAAATAGCTGCAAAATTGCTGAAGCGGGGTTAAGCAATATTCACTCACTCACATACAGGCCATTAGCAGGAAGGAGAGAGACAGGTACATACAGGCCATTAGCAGGGAGGAGGTAGACAGGTACATACAGGCCATTAACAGGGAGGAGAGAGACAGGTACATACAGGCCATTAGCAGGGAGGAGAGAGACAGGTACATGCAGGCCATTAGCAGGGAGGAGGGAGACAGTTACATACAGGTCATTAGCAGGGAGGAGAGAGACAGGTACATACAGGTCATTAGCAGGGAGGAGAGAGACAGGTACATACAGGCCATTAACAGGGAGGAGAGAGACAGGTACATACAGGCCATTAGCAGGGAGGAGGGAGACAGGTACATACAACCCCATACAACCACTTATGATGATACAACCCCACTTATGATGATACAACCACTTATGATGATACAACCCCACTTATGATGATACAACCACTTATGATGATACAACCCCACATGATAGATACCCATGAAGATCCAGGTTAGAATAAGTCTTCAGCAACCCATGCTTGCCGTAAGATGCGGATTGGGTGGTCAGGCTCGCTGACTTGGTTAATGCATGTCATTGTAACCAAATTGCGTGGATCAATGCTCATGATGCTCAACCACTTATGATGATACAACCCCACATGACAATACAACCACTTATGATGGTACAACCTCACATAATGATACAACCCCACATGACTATACAACCACTTATGATGATACAACCCCACATGACAATACAACCACTTATGATGGTACAACCTCACATAATGATACAACCCCACATGACAATACAACCACTTATGATGGTACAACCTCACATAATGATACAACCCCACATGACTATACAACCACTTATGATGATACAACCCCACATGACAATACAACCACTTATGATGGTACAACCTCACATAATGATACAACCCCACATGACTATACAACCACTTATGATGATACAACCCCACATGACAATACAACCACTTATGATGGTACAACCTCACATAATGATACAACCCCACATGACTATACAACCACTTATGATGATACAACCCCACATGACAATACAACCACTTATGATGGTACAACCTCACATAATGATACAACCCCACATGACTATACAACCACTTATGATTGTACAACCACTTATGATGGTACAACCTCACTTCCTGTAACTGTGCAGTAGCCTGAACCCTCTGTAGCGTCTCTGCATCTCTCGATCGTTTGATGTGTAAGGTGTGTTGTTCAGGCTGTCGTCGGAGAACCTGTTCGACACCGCCTGCACCAGTGAGAGGTTTGCTGCCCTGGAGGAGAAGACGAGCAACGAACGCAAACTGTTTGAGGAGTTCAAGTCTGACCTGGCATCTCAGCTGGCAGAAGCTCAGGCTGAAAACACTGCACTTTCAAAGACGTTTGACACGTAAGTCTTCACATGAAAACTTTTGTTTGTCAAAGTTGCTAAAACTGTTAATTGTAGTCATTGTTCAGGGCAGTATTTTTCATGTCAGATCAACTGAAAGTCAAGTAAGCTTTTGTCATCGCCTGTCTGTCTGGCCTGTGTCCGAAATATCTCCTCAGAAACCACTAGACCAGTAAACTGAAACATCTCCTCAGAAACCACTAGACCAGTGAAACTGAAACATCTCCTCAGAAACCACTAGACCAGTGAAACTGAAACATCTCCTCAGAAACCACTAGACCAGTGAAACTGAAACATGCTTTTGTTTTAGTATTTGATAAATGAATTGCAACTCCTGTGGAAGCCAGTTTAGGATACGTAAAAACTTTCCACGATCACGGAGGCAGACCTGTAGATATGATCTGGGTTATGTTCTTGTGCAGGTACAAGACGACCACCGAGTCAGACCTGTAGATATGATGTGGGTTATGTTCTTGTGCAGGTACAAGACGACCACCGAGTCAGACCTGTAGATATGATGTGGGTTATGTTCTTGTGCAGGTACAAGACGACCACCGAGTCAGACCTGTAGATATGATGTGGGTTATGTTCTTGTGCAGGAACAAGACGACCACCGAGTCAGACCTGTAGATATGATCTGGGTTATGTTCTTGAGCAGGAACAAGACGACCACCGAGTCAGACCTGTAGATATGATGTGGGTTATGTTCTTGTGCAGGAACATGACGACCACCGAGTCAGACCTGTAGATATGATCTGGGTTATGTTCTTGTGCAGGTACAAGACGACCACCGAGTCAGACCTGTAGAAATGATGTGGGTTATGTTCTTGTGCAGGTACAAGACGACCACCGAGTCAGACCTGTAGATATGATGTGGGTTATGTTCTTGTGCAGGAACGAGACGACCACCGAGTCAGACCTGTACATCTGATCTGGGTTATGTTCTTGTGCAGGTACAAGACGACCACGGAGACAGACCTGTAGATATGATGTGGGTTATGTTCTTGTGCAGGTACAAGACGACCACGGAGTCAGACCTGTAGAAATGATCTGGGTTATGTTCTTGTGCAGGTACAAGACGACCACCGAGTCAGACCTGTAGATCTGATCTGGGTTATGTTCTTGTGCAGGTACAAGACGACCACCGAGTCAGACCTGTAGATCTGATCTGGGTTATGTTCTTGTGCAGGTACAAGACGACCACGGAGGCAGACCTGTAGATATGATCTGGGTTATGTTCTTGTGCAGGTACAAGACGACCACCGAGTCAGACCTGTAGATATGATCTGGGTTATGTTCTTGTGCAGGTACAAGACGACCACCGAGTCAGACCTGTAGATATGATCTGGGTTATGTTCTTGTGCAGGTACAAGACGACCACGGAGGCAGACCTGTAGATATGATGTGGGTTATGTTCTTGTGCAGGTACAAGACGACCACGGAGGCAGACCTGTAGATCTGATGTGGGTTATGTTCTTGTGCAGGTACAAGACGACCACCGAGTCAGACCTGTAGAAATGATCTGGGTTATGTTCTTGTGCAGGTACAAGACGACCACCGAGTCAGACCTGTAGATCTGATCTGGGTTATGTTCTTGTGCAGGTACAAGACGACCACCGAGTCAGACCTGTAGATCTGATCTGGGTTATGTTCTTGTGCAGGTACAAGACGACCACGGAGGCAGACCTGTAGATATGATGTGGGTTATGTTCTTGTGCAGGTACAAGACGACCACGGAGGCAGACCTGTAGATCTGATGTGGGTTATGTTCTTGTGCAGGTACAAGACGACCACCGAGTCAGACCTGTAGAAATGATCTGGGTTATGTTCTTGTGCAGGTACAAGACGACCACCGAGTCAGACCTGTAGATCTGATCTGGGTTATGTTCTTGTGCAGGTACAAGACGACCACCGAGTCAGACCTGTAGATCTGATCTGGGTTATGTTCTTGTGCAGGTACAAGACGACCACGGAGGCAGACCTGTAGATATGATGTGGGTTATGTTCTTGTGCAGGTACAAGACGACCACCGAGTCAGACCTGTAGATCTGATCTGGGTTATGTTCTTGTGCAGGTACAAGACGACCACCGAGTCAGACCTGTAGATCTGATCTGGGTTATGTTCTTGTGCAGGTACAAGACGACCACCGAGTCAGACCTGTAGAAATGATCTGGGTTATGTTCTTGTGCAGGTACAAGACGACCACCGAGTCAGACCTGTAGATCTGATCTGGGTTATGTTCTTGTGCAGGTACAAGAGGACCACGGAGGCAGACCTGTAGATATGATGTGGGTTTTGTTCTTGTGCAGGTACAAGACGACCACGGAGGCAGACCTGTAGATCTGATCTGGGTTATGTTCTTGTGCAGGTACAAGACGACCACGGAGGCAGACCTGTAGATCTGATCTGGGTTATGTTCTTGTGCAGGTACAAGACGACCATGGAGGCAGACCTGTAGATATAATGTGGGTTATGTTCTTGTGCAGGTACAAGACGACCATGGAGGCAGACCTGTAGATATAATGTGGGTTATGTTCTTGTGCAGGTACAAGACGACCACCGAGTCAGACCTGTAGATCTGATCTGGGTTATGTTCTTGTGCAGGTACAAGACGACCACGGAGGCAGACCTGTAGATATAATGTGGGTTATGTTCTTGTGCAGGTACAAGACGACCACGGAGGCAGACCTGTAGATATAATGTGGGTTATGTACTTGTGCAGGTACAAGACGACCACGGAGGCAGACCTGAGTTCCCTGAAGGGGGCTGTGAAGGAGGGGGAGAAGACAAAGACTGTTGTCGCTGACCTACAGGTGCAGGTGGAGTTGCTTCAGACGGAGAAGTCGAAACTCTTGGAAGATGTAGAAAGGTTAGTGGAGATATTTGATGGCAGTCAGTATTTTCACATATACTGGGAAGAATATGTAAATGAATTTCATATTCATTAGATACTGAGAACAATTTACTAACACATACAGCAGGAAAATGACAAACAAATGATGGTATCTCACCCAATCCCCTCTTCACCCTTGACACTAGGGCATGATAGAGGTTGAATTGTCTCCCTTGGAATGCTACACCATTGTGAGGCATCGTCAAGTTGCTCTAGATTGGCTGGTAAACGTAACGGATTTGATTAGCAATGGTAATATGGTCACTCCCTGCTGATGAAGGTAATCCAGTCCCACACGGTCTGGAACTTAGTTTCATTCAACTCTCTCAGAACTGGTGCAACAATGGGCAGGAAAGTAATGTAACGTTGGCCTGTCAAGTCACCTTGACTTGTCAGAATACATTGTGTGAAACCCATGTTGCCTGTCATGTCCGTCAAACTGCTGGGACCATTGCACTTCTGCTGCATGGATGCTTTCATTTTATGACAGGGGCAGTCGGTTTCACTCACTCACTCACTCACTCACTCACTCATACACTCATACACTCACTCACTCATTTTATAACAACAGATTCCAGTTTTTTCTTGCGGTACATGTTGAAAATCATGTCTCTGTTTGCAGTTACACGCCATTTCTAAAGTTCATTGAATAGTGATAACAGGACTTGGTTGCCGTAGCACTTTGAATAAATTCTGTTACTGTATCAGCAGCAAGTGTCATTTGTGCTTTAAAGGGTGTTTCAGTCATGGTGTTGATGTTTCAGCATCAGGCTGTCGTCAACGCAGGCGGTGGGCGAGGTGCGGAGTCAGTTGGTGATGGCAGAGAGTGAGGTGGCCCAGCTGTTGGTTGTCAAACTGGAACAGGAGCGGAGAGTGGCATCGCTACAGCAACAGCAGCAGGCTGTCAGTGAGGAGCGAGACAGGTACAGCTCTGACAGACAGTAGGTGGTTGGGTATCGGGGAGATGCAGGCTCTCAGTGAGGAGCGGGACAGGTACAGCTCTGACAGACAGTAGGAGGTCGGGTATCAGGGAGATGCAGGCTGTCAGTGAGGAGCGGGACAGGTACAGCTCTGACAGACAGTAGGAGGTCGGGTATGGGGAGATACAGGCTGTCAGTGAGGAGCGGGACAGGTACAGCTCTGACAGACAGTAGGAGGTCGGGTATCGGGGAGATGCAGGCTGTCAGTGAGGAGCGGGACAGGTACAGCTCTGACAGACAGTAGGAGGTCGGGTATCGGGGAGATGCAGGCTGTCAGTGAGGAGCGGGACAGGTACAGCTCTGACAGACAGTAGGAGGTCGGGTATCGGGGAGATACAGGCTGTCAGTGAGGAGCGGGACAGGTACAGATCTGACAGACAGTAGGAGGTCGGGTATCGGGGAGATGCAGGCTGTCAGTGAGGAGCGGGACAGGTACAGCTCTGACAGACAGTAGGTGGTCAGGTATCGGGAAGATGCAGGCTGTCAGTGAGGAGCGGGACAGGTACAGCTCTGACAGACACTGTAGGTGGTCGGGTATCGGGGAGATGTAGGCTCTCAGTGAGGAGAGAGACAGGTGCTTGTCCTTGTTCATGTGTAACAGGTGCTTGTCATTGTTCAGGTGTTGCAGAGGCTTGTCATTGTTCATGTGTTGCAGGTGCTTGTCATTGTTCATGTGTAGCAGGTGCTTGTCATTGTTCAGGTGTTGCAGTTGCTTGTCATTGTTCATGTGTTGCAGGTGCTTGTCATTGTTCATGTGTTGCAGGTGCTTGTCATTGTTCATGTGTAGCAGGTGCTTGTCATTGTTCATGTGTTGCAGGTGTTTGTCATTGTTCATGTGTTGCAGGTGTTTGTCATTGTTCAGGTGTTGCAGGTGCTTGTCATTGTTCATGTGTTGCAGGTTCTTGTCATTGTTCATGTGTTGCAGGTGCTTGTCATTGTTCATGTGTTGCAGGTGTTTGTCATTGTTCAGGTGTTGCAGGTGTTTGTCATTGTTCATGTGTTGCAGGTGCTTGTCATTGTTCATGTGTTGCAGGTGCTTGTCATTGTTCATGTGTTGCAGGTGCTTGTCATTGTTCATGTGTTGCAGGTGCTTGTCATTGTTCATGTGTTGCAGAGGCTTGTCATTGTTCAGGTGTTGCAGGTGCTTGTCATTGTTCAGGTGTTGCAGAGGCTTGTCATTGTTCATGTGCTGCAGGTGTTTGTCATTGTTCAGGTGTTGCAGAGGCTTGTCATTGTTCAGGTGTTGCAGAGGCTTGTCATTGTTCAGGTGTTGCAGAGGCTTGTCATTGTTCAGGTGTTGCAGGTGCTTGTCATTGTTCATGTGTAGTAGGTGCTTGTCATTGTTCATGTGTTGCAGAGGCTTGTCATTGTTCAGGTGTTGCAGGTGCTTGTCATTGTTCAGGTGTTGCAGAGGCTTGTCATTGTTCATGTGTAGCAGGTGTTTGTCATTGTTCAGGTGTTGCAGAGGCTTGTCATTGTTCAGGTGTTGCAGAGGCTTGTCATTGTTCATGTGTTGCAGGTGCTTGTCATTGTTCATGTGTTGCAGGTGCTTGTCATTGTTCAGGTGTTGAAGGTGCTTGTCATTGTTCAGGTGTAGCAGGTGTTTGTCATTGTTCATGTGTTGCAGGTGCTTGTCATTGTTCATGTGTTGCAGGTGCTTGTCATTGTTCATGTGTTGCAGGTGTTTGTCATTGTTCAGGTGTAGCAGGTGTTTGTCATTGTTCATGTGTTGCAGGTGCTTGTCATTGTTCATGTGTTGCAGGTGCTTGTCATTGTTCAGGTGTAGCAGGTGTTTGTCATTGTTCATGTGTTGCAGGTGCTTGTCATTGTTCATGTGTTGCAGGTGTTTGTCATTGTTCATGTGTTGCAGGTGCTTGTCATTGTTCATGTGTTGCAGGTGCTTGTCATTGTTCATGTGTTGCAGGTGCTTGTCATTGTTCATGTGTTGCAGGTGCTTGTCATTGTTCATGTGTTGCAGAGGCTTGTCATTGTTCATGTGTTGCAGGTGCTTGTCATTGTTCATGTGTTGCAGGTGCTTGTCATTGTTCATGAGTTGCAGGTGCTTGTCATTGTTCATGTGTTGCAGGTGCTTGTCATTGTTCATGTGTTGCAGGTGCTTGTCATTGTTCATGTGTTGCAGGTGCTTGTCATTGTTCATGTGTTGCAGGTGCTTGTCATTGTTCATGTGTTGCAGGTGCTTGTCATTGTTCATGTGTTGCAGGTGCTTGTCATTGTTCATGTGTTGCAGGTGCTTGTCATTGTTCATGTGTTGCAGGTGCTTGTCATTGTTCATGTGTTGCAGGTGTTTGTCATTGTTCATGTGTTGCAGGTGCTTGTCAGAGTACAACACGCTGGCTCAGGAGGTGGAGCAGATGCAGGACCAGCATCAGCAGCAGGTGGAAGTGCTGAGACAGCAGTTTGAGGAGCAGGCTGCAACAGCTGATGTTGATGCTCTCACACAAGAAATACACAAGTAGGTGTTGCTACTGGTACTCAATCACTATGTTAAATTTGTAGAACGTTTTGTAAAAGTTATTTATACAAATTTAAACTTAAATAAGAGGCCAGAAACATGATAGATAATGTTAACCAGATTTCCTCTATTTAGTGATTCAGTCTGTAAGTTATAATGAGGGTCCTGTCCATTATTCTACAATGTGGTAGAACTATTTATGAAATATTGCCTGTGTAGAGGTGTAACAGGCAGAGGCAGCTATGCTATGCAAGCTAACCCTATCGGTGGCTTATCACTGGTTGATACGTTTGTTTTTCTCCAGGTGGCAGACCCTGTACCAGGAGCTCCAGGAGAAGGTGGCGCCCTTCATGGATCAGATAGATGCCTTTGAGGCAGAGAGGCAGTATTTACTGGGTAAGACGCAGTGGTGTGGGGAGGGGCGGTTGGGTCCTGGGGGTAGGCACACTCCTTGAAATGTGAAAAGAAATGTTACCTACCATGAAGACATCCCTAATTTGGTTGTTGAAGTAAAATTAATAATGGTTTACATGTGGTGTTTGTGACCTCCTTTCTTCTGGGGCCCTGGGGGAGTGGGGTAGCCCAGTGGTTAAAGCGTTCGCCGCCACGTTGAAGACCGGGGTTCGATTCCTGACATGGGTACAATGTGTGAAGCCCATTTTTTATGTTCCCCGCCCTGATATTACTGGAATATGGCTAAAAGCGACTAGAATCAAACTCACTCACTCAGAGTTAGACTTGTGGGGCCATGGAATAGAAAAGGTTATTATTGATATCAATTCTTTTGTGGTACATATATCCAATGGGGTTTGTAGATGCATCATGTTGATGTTTCAATGTGACGCTGGTGAAGACTGACATGTTCCGTTGTTGCTGTCAGGTTGTAGTGCTAATGCGCAGGCAGAGATCAACAAGCTGAGTACCGAGTATGCTCGACTACTCGGACACCAGAATCAAAAACAGAAGATTAAACACATTGTCAGGATCAAGGAGGAAAACAACACGCTCAAAAAGGTTTGGACCTTTACAAGTCAAGGGCCCACTCACACAAAACAATCGTAGCGCTAAGACTATTATAAGTCTGTGTTAAAGTAGGGGAGTTACAATTATCTTAGCGCTAAGACTATTGTAAGTCTGTGTAAAGTAGGGGAGTTACGATGATCTTAGTGCTAAGATCCCTTTGTGCTGGTGGGCCAAAGATATTAACTCAATCTTTAACCTTTGATTAAGCCTGAGATTTGTCTAGTAATTTGGTAGGTTCACAAAGATATTGATGCTTGTCTTCTGGAGTGTCTTCATATTGTTACTTTTGTGATAAAGGATGCAGTAATTATCAAATTTTTCAGCTTATCCTAACTCACACTATGCATTTCTTGCTTCTTTCAATCCTTCTATGGAAACCCTCTAGGAGGTGATGCAGTTGCGAGAGCAGGCCCGCAAACAAAAGAGGCAGCTGGATCGGCGGAGCGAAGACCGACTCTCCCAGTCACAGTGCCGCACCAAGTTCGACCCCTCCAAAGCCTTCCAGCACACTAAGGAGAACAAAACCCCGGCCATGAGTCCGCTAAAATCAGGTAACTAAAACAGCCATGTGGCAGTGACCCCATCCTCCATGTCTTTTAGCACACTAAGGAGAACAAAACACCGGTCATGAGTCCGCTAAAAACAGGTAACCACAACAGCCATGTGGCCGTGATCCCATCCTCCATGTCTTTTAGCACACTAAGGAGAACAAAACACCAGCCATGAGGCCGCTAAAAACAGGTAACCACAACAGCCATGTGGCAGTGAGCCCATCCTCCATGCCTTCCAGCACACTAAGGAGAACAAAACACCGGCCATGAGGCCGCTAAAAACAGGTAACCACCACAGCCATGTGGCAGTGAGCCCATCCTCCATGCCTTCCAGCACACTAAGGAGAACAAAACACCGGCCATGAGGCCGCTAAAAACAGGTAACCACAACAGCCATGTGGCAGTGAGCCCATCCTCCATGCCTTCCAGCACACTAAGGAGAACAAAACACCGGCCATGAGGCCGCTAAAAACAGGTAACCACAACAGCCATGTGGCAGTGAGCCCATCCTCCATGTCTTTTAGCACACTAAGGAGAACAAAACACCGGCCATGAGGCCGCTAAAAACAGGTAACCACAACAGCCATGTGGCAGTGAGCCCATCCTCCATGCCTTCCAGCACACTAAGGAGAACAAAACACCGGCCATGAGTCCGCTAAAAACAGGTAACCACAACAGCCATGTGGCAGTGAGCCCATCCTCCATGTCTTTCAGCACACTAAGGAGAACAAAACACCGGCCATGAGTCCGCTAAAAACAGGTAACCACAACAGCCATGTGGCAGTGAGCCCATCGTCCATGCCTTCCAGCACACTAAGGAGAACAAAACACCGGCCATGAGGCCGCTAAAAACAGGTAACCACAACAGCCATGTGGCAGTGAGCCCATCCTCCATGTCTTTCAGCACACTAAGGAGAACAAAACACCGGCCATGAGGCCGCTAAAAACAGGTAACCACAACAGCCATGTGGCCGTGAGCCCATCCTCCATGTCTTCCGGTCTTTGACTGGTAGGGTTGGTATGTTGGTTTGTTGTTTAACGCCGCGCTCAGCAGTTTGTGTGGTTTGGTTATTATTGTAGAAGTGAAATGAAGTCACACATGAGGCCTTCAAGAAAGTCAGTGCATTCAACAGATAATTGAAGGTGGTTTGATTTTGTTACTCGCAAAAGGGGCGGTGGGGTAGCCTAGTGGTTAAAGCAGAAGGCCCTGGTTTGATTCCCACAACATGGATACAATGTGTGAAGCCCATTTCTGGTGTCCCCTGTCGATATTGCTGGAATGTTGCTAAAAGCGGCCTAAAACCTCACTCACTCACTACTGACAATAGTTCATTCATTTAAGTGTCCATTGTTTTGCATATAGATTTTATTATCATATCACCTTTTTCTCTTCACAGGAAACAGACTGTAAGCAGAAGATCCAGACCCTCATTCCTCAATGAGAACTGTGTTATAGATGGGACTTGTGAATGTTTGGGTGCTGGCATTGATTCAAGGAATGAGGCAAGGATTGATGGAGCAGTGAGCCTGTGCTACAAGGGTATCATCTCAGGGATGTCTGTTCGTCTTACAATGTATAGAAGGGAAGTAACTCTGTAGGAGCCTGACGTGTAAAGTTTGATGATAATGGTACAGAGACGGATAGTTCTAACGACATTGATAAGAAAACAAGTTGTTGTTTTTTACTTGAAATAACTTGTCTGCTCATAGAAGTGAATTCTCTGCTCTGCATGAATTCATACCACTGAAACTAGATCTGTAACACTGATCGTACATGAACAAAACAAATCCCCCGATGTGCTACGCTTGTGTGTGTTCATCAGTGTGCTTCCCTAACTGTATGTGTCGTAATTACTATCACTGATTTTATGTTGATTGCATTAAACTACATCAACTATACTCAGTATTATCAACTTGCTTTTAGGGATTCAAACTAATTTTGTTTTTTATCTGTTTTTGTTTTTATTGTTCATCGCTGTCTTTGTCTTGTAATGTTTCGGACTCAATTGTTTTCTCCAAGGTATACAACTCAAAAGCAGTTAAAGAACATCCAATTTATTCATATGATTATAGTCAATCTGTCATGTCATGCGATGACAAATTGACTATATTCATATGACAAATTTGGGTGTTGTTTAACTTCTTCTGAGTAGTATACCTTGAAGATTACTATAGTTGTATTGAAAGATCGGGTGTTGTTTAACTTCTTATGAGTAGCATATATGAAATGGAGATTTCCTAAATGTGGTGATCGTATCGCTGAAGCATGGCTCAATGTTAGATATCATCTTGGCTGTTTGTAAGATCATGCATGATGTCACTTGTCTGGGCGTTGTGGATCCCGGCGCTTACTGAACTGCTCAATACAGTATAAGCCTGACACATATACATGTATATAGGTGGTGAATAATCGAATAAACGAAGGCATCTTTGGTCCAGAGATTGTTCCTTGTTACATAAGCATCTGTGTTATGCTTTTGAAGTGTGTGGAGTATGTCTACACTCTCATCGTCCTTCCACCAATGAGGAAGCTGCAAGCACAATATATGGAGGCATGATTATATTTATATATAGACTTTGATATGATATAGCTGATATTCCCTGGCATGTAATTATCGTAACATCTTACTGTGGTTCATCAATGGTCTTTCATCTGACTTATCTATCCTGTCTTCATCTTCTGGTTTGTGACAAATGTGTTCGAGTTGGCCATCATGTAAAGTATTTGTTATTTTAGCCAAAACAAAACACCAACCTCCAAACCTCATCAGCATTCCCGATCATTCTGCAACTACTTACAACCAATGTCAACTGAAAGCTGATGTGAGGGATAAAACATGTTATCTGACTCCTATAAAACCTAATGAGGGACGAATAAAACCCCATGTAGCCCTTGTGATCCTGCTACAGCGAATTTATCCTACTGACATGTTTTAAGATGACTTTGTAAAAGAATTCAAACAAATTCAAAATTGATAGAAAACAGCTTTTCGATTGAGCTGAGGTTAGATTGTGCCATGTCACATGACCTCCATTGGCTCGGAAAAAGGAAAAAGCGGTGGCTTTTTGCTTTGAAGTGGGGTATAAGGGATTTATTCTGTCTCTCAGATATGCATGTGCAGCCTGTATTGCTCATAGCGGGGTATAAGAGATATATTCCCCCACCGATAAATTTATTCCTCTCCAAGGCAGGTTACGCAGTATTTTATCAAGTATATGATATACATTTTGCATTTTGCGTTTTCAATCCATAACGTGATAAACTGAAAATATTCTGACATTGCTGATCTATCTGTACATATTAACAATATCGTTCAGTCAGGAAAGTCTGACATAAGTGGAAATTGGGTTGTTTGGTTTATCATTTTGTTGACATGTGTGTAAAGGTCTAGTTCTTATCAAGCCAAACATACCCTAATACGACGTGTTTAAACAAGTGCCACTGTTGTCAATTATAGGATGGAAACATGTTTTTTTGGTTTGATGGGCCAATTTGGCTGTCCTCGTACATGAAAACCTTCTCTTTGTCTTGTTCATTGTTGTGTTCCCCAGTTTGTGCTCATGTCATTGTTACTTGGCTCGTTCACCTCACACTCATGTACAAATATTGATACATGTACCATCAAGTTGTTACTCCGCTCGTTCACCTCATGCTCTCATGTACAAATTTTGATACCATCAATTATAAGTATAAAAAGTGTTACTCAGATTATGCAAGAGTATTATGACGTGGTATTTATTGTTTTTATACCGTATTTCATTTATCATGTTTACTTATTGGATGACTGTCATAAAGTACACTTATAGCCGTCATTTTAATTTTGTAATTCCATTTAAATATACAACAGTAATTTAAAGAAAGTATTTTTCTTAAATGTGAATGTCATTATTTTGTCAAAAGAAACAAGAGACCGTTATGAGAGCATATTTGCAGAAACTCATGAAGTTCATCAAAGAAGGTTAATTTGACTTCAAATTTGTACCATTCACAGACAAATTAATGCCACATGTGTTGTTCCTGAAAGTCAAACATGCTTTCACAACAAAATCATATAAAAGTATTCGATGTAACAATGCTTCTTTGAAGTTGAACAAGTGAAATAAATTTTTATTTACCTTATGTTGCCTTTGTTTGGTTTGTTGGTGGACATTTCATTGATCAGGGCTTTAGGAGCCTATTGTCCTGAGGATGGGTGGTTCTTGCCTCAAAGAGCACTAGACTGTGGCTTCCAACATCTCTCACCACAGTGGCCTGAGAGCTGCTACTGCAGGCTTTCCTCCCACATTAAGCTGACATGCCGTGATATAACTGGGGTGCTGTTCAAAGCCGCGTTAATCCAAACTCACTCACTCACTCTGTCGCCTGAGGTTCATCATGTGCCAGGTGTGATGAGAGACGGCCAAAATGTACATCACCATTCAAAGACACAACTGATTTGTTTCTCGGTTGTTTAACGCCACACTCAGCAATATTCCCAGCTATATGACGGCGGTCTGTAAATATTCGAGTCTGGACCAGACAATCCAGTGATTGACCGCATGAGGATCTATCCACACAGGTGGAATACGATGACATCCATGAACTAAGTCAGCGAGCCTGACCACCTGATCCAATTAGTTCCATGAACTAAGTCAGCGAGCCTGACCACCCGATCCCATTAGTTCCATGAACTAAGCAAGTCTGACCACCCGATCCCATTAGTTCCATGAACTAAGTCAGCAAGCCTGACCACCCGATCCCATTAGTTCCATGAACTAAGCAAGTCTGACCACCCCATCCCGTTAGTTCCATGAACTAAGTCAGCGAGCCTGACCGACCGATCCCATTAGTTCCATGAACTAAGTCAGCGAGCCTGACCACCCGATCCCATTAGTTCCATGAACTAAGTCAGCGAGCCTGACCACCCCCTTCCCATTAGTTCCATGAACTAAGTCAGCGAGCCTGACCACCCGATCCCATTAGTTCCATGAACTAAGTCAGCGAGTCTGACCACCCGATCCCATTAGTTCCATGAACTAAGTCAACAAGCCTGACCACCCGATCCCATTAGTTCCATGAACTAAGTCAGCGAGCCTGACCACCCGATCCCATTAGTTCCATGAACTAAGTCAGCGAGCCTGACCACCCCATCCCATTAGTTCCATGAACTAAGTCAGCGAGCCTGACCACCCGATCCCATTAGTTCCATGAACTAAGTCAGCGAGCCTGACCACCCCATCCCATTAGTTCCATGAACTAAGTCAGCGAGCCTGACCACCCGATCCCATTAGTTCCATGAACTAAGTCAGCGAGCCTGACCGACCGATCCCATTAGTTCCATGAACTAAGTCAGCAAGCCTGACCACCCCATCCCATTAGTTCCATGAACTAAGTCAGCGAGCCTGACCGACCGATCCCATTAGTTCCATGAACTAAGTCAGCAAGCCTGACCACCCCATCCCATTAGTTCCATGAACTAAGTCAGCGAGCCTGACCACCCGATCCCATTAGTTCCATGAACTAAGTCAGCAAGCCTGACCACCCGATCCCATTAGTTCCATGAACTAAGTCAACAAGCCTGACCACCCGATCCCATTAGTTCCATGAACTAAGTCAGCGAGCCTGACCACCCGATCCCATTAGTTCCATGAACTAAGTCAGCGAGCCTGACCACCCGATCCCATTAGTTCCATGAACTAAGTCAGCGAGTCTGACCACCCGATCCAATTAGTTCCATGAACTAAGTCAGCGAGCCTGACCACCCGATCCCATTAGTTCCATGAACTAAGTCAGCGAGCCTGACCACCCGATCCCATTAGTTCCATGAACTAAGTCAGCGAGCCTGACCACCCCATCCCATTAGTTCCATGAACTAAGTCAGCGAGCCTGACCACCCGATCCCATTAGTTGACTCATCCAACAAACACAGTCGCCTTTTAAGGTACCATAAGAATGGGTTGCTGAAGACCTATTCTAACCTGGATCTTCACGGTGCATACTCTGCAATATTGCTAAGTTTATGTAAAGCATACACACCCGGAATATAACTCCATAATTGTAACTGATTTCAAACAATATGAATGTTAAAATTGTTAATTGCTACTTCTGTAGGTTCTAAAATCAGTCTGAGAAAATGACATCGTGACCAGAAATATTTATAAAATGTCTTATCGGATATATAATTGGCCACCCTTTTTAATGAACTTAATTGTCTCTTCACACTTTCTGCAAGACAGGGTATCGTATTCGACGTAATAAGCGCACAGGGCGCTTTCAAAATTAGAAATAGGGGGCTCTTATTAGAATGTTATTTTGGTGAAAATAACAGTTGAAAGATCGTAAATTTCGTGGTTTATGCGGACACCCTGAAATGTTTATATACGACATATATAATTTTCCAGAATTTAATTGCACATCATTAAGGGTGCATATAACACACGAGTGCGTATTATACACGAATAAATAAGTCTTGTGAACATTGATCAATCGGAAGGGGTGCTTATTCACCGATAATTGGGATTGTTCGCTCGCCATTATTTTAGAAAATATCGCCATAGGCGCATATTAAGTCGAATACAGTACTTTATATACCACTGTAACCAGCGGAAATAAAGTTTCTGTGCATCACAGACTCTCGGGGGAAATAATAAATAAATGCAAACAAAAAACGATTTTGCAACAGAACAATATTTTGATGTTTGTTTGTTGTTTAACGCCGCACTCAGCAATATTTCAGCTATATGACGGTGGTCTGTAAAATAATCGAGCCTGGGCCAGACAATCCAGTGATTGACATCATGAGCATCGATCCACGCAATCTGGATCGATGACATGCATCAACCAAGTCAGCGAGCCTGACCACCCGATCCCGTTAGTCGCCTTTTACGACAAGCATAGTCACCTTTTACGGCAAGTATGGGTTGCTGAAGACCTATTCTAACCCGGAATCTTCACGGGTCAATATTTTGATGTCTATGAAACATGAATTCATCATGTCAGTGTCAACACGTCCTCTGTCCGTATTGTGTGTGATCAGTTTGACCATTAGCAGTGACACAAGCTTGACAACGGCGTCTCATTTATGACACAAGATGGTCGAGGAAGGCTCGATGCAACATCGTCTCGTGCAATTGCAGTTTCAAGCATTCAAATGTGCACAACCGCACATTTTCGGATATATGCGCCGCATAACGTTACGAGTTTTTGTCGTCAACTCAAAGTTAAATAATTTCATACTTTGAAGTTAACACTTTCTTTCATGCTGATTGGCTGAAGGGGTAGTCACGTGATCTGATATTCTGATCACTGGTGGAATTTTATGCGTGCAATGACCAGGATGCACGTGCAAATTCAGGGTCATCATGAGTGATGACAAAGTGGCTGCAAATGTGATTACCATGCATTATTCTGAACAATCCACAGCACGAAATATAGCTGAGTATTAGGCATAATAAATTACATTTTCAATCTGACTGCCATGTTTGAATCTGTTTGATATTCTGTGAGCAAAGTTTTAGAGATCACCCAATAAATGCCCAGTCCCTTATCTGTCACGTGTGAATTATTTTTGTTAAGTCTCTAGCCTTGACGAGGACACTCAGCGTTGTTTCACACGGGACACATAACCCGTAATTCCACTGTGTGCGAGTAGGTTATTCCTCACTATGGTGCTACCTACATTCTCGTTCTTAGAAAATGTATTGAAATGATTTTTCCTCAGGACAACGGACCAAAATAACTTAATATAGGTGACAGGACACAACAGTTCAGTCAGTCTATTGTTCGAACGATATCACGATGTCGATGACGTCATAAACAAGCAATTTCCGATTTAAGCTGAGAAGAAATGGGTTTATATGATTGGACTTTTCTGTTTGTTGTTTAACGCCGCACTGAGCAGTATTCCAGCTTTATGACGGCGGTCTGTAAATAATCGACTTTACACCTGACAATCCAGTGATTGACAGCATGAGCATCGATCCACGCAATTGGGATACGATATGACATGCATCAACCAAGTCAGCGAGCCTGATCACCCGGCCCCGTTAGTCGCCTAGTTCTAACGACAAGCATGGTCGCCTTTTACAGCAAGTATGGGTTGCTGAAGACCTATTCTACCCCGGATATTCACGGGTTGGACTTTTCTGAATATTCTACAATATGACCCTTTCGACAATTCTTGTTCACAAAAATGTCTAAGCTTGGGATGAGGTCTATATTTAGGGGAACTTGTCCCGGGTAGTCTATGTTGATTCACTCCATCATGCTTGCTCTAATGAAGAAATAAATTTGAATAAATGAATTTCCGAACATATATTGTAATTTAACAAAATATCGATGCTTGAAATTTGCGACTATTTGTAAAATTGAAATTGGAAAGGTATTAAGTGAAAATATATTTCGTGTTCCCAAATTCCACGTGCCATGTTATTGTCCTGCAAGCATGTGTGTGAAAAGGTCAGAACAAGTGTCACCCCTTAACTGTCTGTTTGAAGGGGGTCAGCGGAACGCCACGACATATAGATCGATATAGACCACATTAATTATTATATAAACAAATAATAACTAATTTACCATTAGCTAATAATTGCTTGTGAGAGGATGACACAAACCATCTAATGAGAAAGCACACATCAGTGTTGTACTAGTGTGTTAATGTCTACCTATTCTTCAGGAAGGGAAAGTTAGAGACTAGTTTATTTATGTTGAATATGGGTTTCTTTTTAATAAGATTTTGTTTGTTTGTTGTTTAACGCCGTACTCAGCAATATTCCAGCTATATGACGGCGGTCTGTAAATAATCGAGTCTGGACCAGACAATCCAGTGCTTGACATCATGAGCATAGATCCAAGAAATTGGGATACGATGACATGTATCAACCAAGTCAGCGAGCCCTTTTGATAAGTAAAATACGATGGGAGCAGTAATTGTGTGTTAAACATTATTGATCTTTTGTGTGTCCCATGTACGGTGCTATTGTGAGAGAGGAATCCTTAATCAATTTCATTATTCGTAGTAATCACTCGTTTCCGAAATTATGTCACGTTGTCAGTAGTTTCATATCTGCTTTTTGCGTTTAAATAGCGCTCCCCTAGTCACGTGATCTAAGTTTCCCGCAATATTTTGAGAGCTGTGCCGTGAGCGAGATAAACGTGCAAACATATTATTGAAAAGTTGACAACTTGTCATGGATGGAGATACAACGCAGCCGAACGGGTAATACGAAGTCATTGAAGCACATGTTTAGACAGCTGCATGCTGAGTTATCACCAGCAACACATGACCGTTGCATGAGTTTGTGCTCGAGAATATCGGTGAAAGTTATTTTTTCATATTGAAGATTTATGTAACAGCTTTAAAGTTATGTGAAGATTATCAGAAATGTATCCACATCAATACATTTACTGTTAACCAACAGTATAGTTATCCCATGAGGCTGAATTATGTCTCCATGAACAAACTATAACGACCTGGTCGGTGGTCAAAGGGAGACAATCAAGTCGATTTGTCAAAAGCACCTAAACAAGTGAAATATAGATATATGAAATAATATATAGGCCTACATGAACACCATAATTTTGTTTCCAGGCTCATATTTCATCTAGAATTTAAAATTGTGGTAAACTATTATTGTGTATACAATTAATAAACTAAAGATTGTTTTAAAGTTGTTTGCTGTGCCATCCTCAGCTCGGCTGATAGGCCTAACTTTGACAAGATCAACGAGGCTTTTGAAACTCGTGGTTTAGTCTAATGACATATGCTGGTTTCCGTGATGTACAAAGGCATGCATGTGTAGCCGGGTGGTGGTGCTAACTCTGAATGAGTTATAGCCACATAAGTACCACCCACTTATAACCCCCTAGTATTCATTCTATACATATATACATACATGTTCATCTATTATCACCATCACTTCATTCTGTGTTCATTATATGTTCATTATATGTTGTCCTTGTCTGCAGTTGAATGTCAGCCAACTAACACCAACCTGATACCCTTCTGCAGCCTCTGTAATTTCTCCAGCTTCACCTGGACTTCCCCCTATCTATTTTTAGACATGTCCACCACTTTATGTGACTGAAGCATCTTGACTTCCTTTTAATACCTGTCAGATGCTACCTTTCTTCTGATTGGCCCTTTGGTCCACTTCTTTAAACTTCCTTTCTCACCTGCCCTCCTCATGCATTCTGCATGAACTCTTTATGGAGGGAGGACTCTTGTTTACAGCTTCCCTCCCACCATCTACTACCAAAGAATAAATATCATCATCATCTTCAAGAACTGCCTCATGTTTTGACTAGCAGCCCAGTGGCTGGACACATCACACCACGCCCGGCTACACTTGCATGCTCATGATGTCAATCACTGGAATGTCTGGTCCAGACTCGATTATTTACAGACCGTCGTCATATAGCTGGAATATTGCTGGGTGCTGCGTTAGACAACAAACCAAACCAAAAGAAGGCATGCAGGGTAGCCGCTAGGTATTCCATGCTAAATACATATTAGAGTAATCCTTTGAATTGTTGGAAAGATGCTATCAATACTGTAGTTGGTTGGTTTGTTGTTTAACGCCGCACTCAGCAGTATTCCAGCTATATGACGGCGGCCTGTAAATAATCGAGTCTGAACCGGACAACCCAGTGAGTGCGGCGTTAAACAACAAACAACAAAAATCTGTGAAAATCCATGCTTCAGATAATTCTGCTAGTGATGGAGCAAAGGATGAGGGGTCAAGTCGGACCTGCCGGGGGGCTCGTGATTAGCTAAAGGAACACAGGATGACATCTTGTCAATTTGAGTTGGCGGTACATTTTGCCACAGATACTGTTCCTGTAGCACAAGAAAACTGCATTTACCTTTAAACCACAAGTTGGTGAGACTCATGGCAACATATTCACATGACTTTGTCTTTATCCATGTTTATTTCACACCAACTGACCAGGATTTTGCACCCCAAAAAGTCATGAAGAAATATGACAGTGTAACCTGACAGGTGATGCCAGTTTGTAATTGCTGATGTTTTTTGTACAGGGGGGTGACTGGCAGTGAGAAGAGGGAAGGGTACCTGGAGTGGCCGGAGTACTTCATGGCCATCGCGTTCCTCTCCGCTCAGAGAAGCAAGGACCCCAGAACACAGGTACCACAGCTCCAGATAAGCTTTTGGTGTTGTGGGTATTTTACCCATGCATTTTAAAATCATTGGGTATCAGTAATTCTATCTGGGTATTCAAATTTCTCTTACCCACTAGTTTTTACACATGTGGGTATTTAAGTTAAATATTTAAAAAAACACTATTCATCTAGTCCCTGCAAACTAGTGTCGTGTGGATTTGAGAGATTTATAGGCAAATGATCATGATGTAACTGTCATCGTGGCGTTTGGCAAGGTTGACGGAATGCCCGTTTATTATTTCAAAATAAGTTGCTGATTTGCTAATCGAATACGCAGGGTTGCTTCAAAATATTTTGATGATACGCACAAGTTTTATTTTTGTAGCGTATCTGTAATGTTCGTTGCGTATTTGATACACTTGGATTTTATTTTACTGCGTATTTCTGCATTTCTGATGCGTATTTTACGCAGATACGTAGCTTATCTGGAGTTCTCGGTACACTATACAAACTGTAGATCTCCTCAGAACACAGGTGAACTATACCTCTGTACACTAATAGGTAACTTAAATAACTTGTATACATCTCAACTCATATATAAATGGCAGACAATTTTGACGTGAAGTATTTTATGAGCCTAAAAATCTACATTGATGGCCGGTCCATGTGGATTGTACATTTCATCGTGTTTATGTGTATGTGTATCTGTATAAAAAAATTACTGACCATCTTGGTGTTTATGTCAACTATTGACAGCCATGTTCAACGTCGATATACTGTCCTCGTATGAATAATTGTGGAGTTGATACCTTTACTATTGGGCAGTTTGGCAAGGACTACAGGACTAGTGCCAATTTCTAACGCTGGAATAAGACCTGTGGACTTCTGGGGTAGAATAGGTCTTCAGCAACCCATGCTTGCCGTAAAAGGCCACTATTCTTGTCATAAGGGTGACTAATGGGATTGGGTGGTCAGGCTCGCTGACTTGGTTGATGCATGTCATCGGTCCAAATTGTGTGGTCCAGACTCAATTATTTACAGACCGCTGTCATGTAGCTGGAATATTGCTGCATGCGGCATTAAACAACACACAAACAAACACAACTTCTATTCATCAGTGTACTGATTGACCCAGAGTGGTGGCATAAAAATATCATGGTACAGTAAACCACATTTCTAACGAACTCTAAGGGAACACTAATTTTAGTTCATAATAACCGTAGTTCGTTATAAGCATATATACAATATTTATACAACAAATTGTCGGGACTAAAAAATAAGTTGGTTATATGCGTGTTTGTTATAACGGTAGTTTACTGTATGTGAATCCATGGATCAACTAACAGCAGATCCTGGCAACTAAGGGGCATAACTGCACATAGGATTAGACCACTAACAGCAGATCCTGCCAACTAAGGGACACAACTCTGCACATCGAATAAGACTACTGACAGCAAATCCTGGCAACTAAGAGACACAACTCTGCACGTCAGATTAAATCGCTAACAGCAGATTCTTGTAACTAAGGGACACAACTCTGCACATCAGATTAAATCGCTAACAGCAGATTCTTGTAACTAAGGGACACAACTCTGCACATCAGATTAGACCATTGTCCTGCAGGTGCCCCTAGATCCCCCGAGATGCTGAGTCCTTGTGTATTGGTGTTGCAGGTCGGAGCATGTATTGTCAACAAGGAGAAGAAGATTGTTGGGATTGGCTACAACGGGATGCCCAATGGCTGCAGTGACGACCTGATGCCATGGGGGAGGGATGCGGAGAATGTACTCCAGACCAAACATTTATATGGTGAGCTATCTCAACCATTTGCTAATTTTTATGTTGTGCCGTATCCATTCAGAGCTACAGATAAGCAGCATATTTGCGTAAAATACACCCCAGAAATATTCAAAACCCAATTACTTTCAATTAACTTGCGTACTGAAACACATACATTAAATGAAAAACTCAAATGTATAAAAAACAGCATGCGTTAATAACCCAATGAAGCTTTTCCAGTTTGCGTACAAAGGAGCTAATTTCAGAAACATTATTACGAGCTAATTTACTTATCGAGTCAAGCCTATATATTTAGAAAAGTTGTAAACATCTAAAACATTATTTAATTTTTTAAAAATCTTAAAATGTTCACTAATTTTGGGAAATACCCAATAGAGTGATGAATAGATGAGGGAAAAAATATTGATACCCAATGAAAAATGTATTAACCCAATTAAAATAGAAACCCTAGAGTAAAAACTCAATGGCTCAAAAGGTTACCTGGAGCTCTGTCCATTTCATTGCATCAAGTTGGAGCCTATCTACATTGGCAAACAGGAACAGAGTCGTGTATATGTAATGGTGTCTGTGTCAGTTTCCACCTCCCCTCAATGTGCCGTTATTTGAGCTTCAGTGCCTTTCGTCTGTCGGGTAGTTTTAGTATTTCATCCCAAACATCTGTGGGGGCCATGGTAGCCTAGTGGTTAAAGCTTTTGCATATCATCCTGAAGACCCGGGTTCGATTCCCTACATGGGTACAATGTGTGAAACCTATTTCTGGTGTCCCCAGCTGTGATATTGCTGGAATATTGCTAAAAGCGGCGTAAAACCAAACTCACTCAAAGTCATCATCCGTTTGACACAATTTTGCTGGTTGTCATGTAGTGTCTTCTCTGTACTATACTGCTCAAAAGCAATTGTTTTCAATAGTTAATCGTTTGTACTTTAACCTCTTTGTTCAAGAACTGTGTTATGTTTGTTACAGTTTGTCATGCCGAGCTGAATGCTGTGTTAAACAAGAACTCTGCGGACGTGAAAGACTGTACCATATATGTGGCTCTGTTTCCGTGTAATGAATGCGCCAAGGTCGTCATCCAGTCCGGCATCAGGGAAGTGGTGTACTATTCGGACAAGTACCACGACAAGCCCGAGTTCATAGCGTCCAAGAAGCTGCTGGATTTAGCTGGAATTACTTACAGGTGCACATAGAAAGTTTCAAATCTAAATAAGTGTTTTTCAAATTTATCAACATACCGTATTTGACGTAATAAGCGCCCACGGCGATATTTGCTGATATATTGGCTAGTGAACAATCCCAATCAGCACCCCTTCCGATTGATCAATGTTCACAAGACTTATTTATTCGTGTATAATACGCACTCGTGTGTTATAAGCACTCTTAATTATGGGCAATTGAATTCTGGAAAAATATATCTGTCGTGAATAATACGCACAGACTTTTCTTTTGTGTCATTTCAGGCTGTCAGCATAAACCATGAAATTTACGATTTTTCAACTCCGTTTTTTGTGTGACTAAAATTATATTCTAATAGAGCCCCCTATTTCTAATTTTGAGAGTCCCCTGGGTGCTTATTACGTCGAATACGGTAAGTCGGTAAATTAGGCATGGAATCATCACTTGAATATTCAAGATAATTCTGTGTTATTTTGCACAAATGGATCCAACTCATGTGTTTCAGTGCCTTGAGTAGGTCAGCTGGTGCCAAATGAAGACCAATACACTTTACTGAACATTATCATGGGGTGTGGCTAACATTAAACTTGACCTGTATCACTCTGCGCTGTATCCTTCAACATCAAGTTGATGCACCATTGTAAACTGAAACACTGTTTAATGCCATGATAAACTAAATTCACTGTCATTAACCATGTTTACTGAAAACTGCTTTGGAAATAGTATTTGTAATAGTGTTTGTTTGTTTGTTTGTTTGTTTTTTAATGCTGCACTGAGCAATATTCCAGCTGTATGACGACGGTGAGTATAATGTGGAAGAATCAGCAGTTCCATCTGGTGACTTCTCCCCACTCTGTTGGAGGGGGAGGTTGTAGTTAAAACCCCACTGTTTTCACTGCAGACCTAGGTTACCTGTAGATTTAACCGCACAAAATTGAGTTTGGAACCAAACATAGAATTACGTAGCAGCCATTATTGTGATTTGATACCTCTGACGGACCAACAACAATCGAGGAAATTCCAAATTCATAGTGGAATGTTGGTTCAATATGACCACACAACTAAAATGTTATGTTGTATCGCTATAATATCTCAGATGTAAAACGCGGTGATCTTGATTAGGGCTGGGACGGGTAACTCGGGTACTCCGGTCGGGTGGGTACTGAGTAGGACCCAGGTACCCACAGGACTACAGAGACCTGTGGTTAGTCACGTGATATATTGTTCCATGACAAAAAATATCTAAGACTCTATGGTTACACTACAAGTCACTATTGTTCGCATTTCTTTCTGACTATGCACCCATTCCTTCTGACCTTCAGGTTTGAATAAAGATAAAACTTCAGTCAACTTCAGTGTATGCATAACCAGATCGTTTTATACCTGTATCTAAATACATTTTACCAGGGCTATGGAAAAACTATTCCCAATCGGACTTTTTACACTAAGGTCTTGAGACATATAGCGGGTATCCGGGTAGGGTCGGGTAATAGCGTGGTGGGTACCTGGGTTGTAAATTTGGTCTCGTCCCAGCCTTAATCTTGAGTAATATCATTGAACTCAAACTGGATGACCAGGAGTTATTGGTGTTGCATCTTGCTGTGCAGAGTTGTGTCCCTTGGCTGACAGGGAACTATTGGGGCCCAGATTGTGATGTTCGGTCTGTCACATGATCTTGGTGATGACATCACATAAATGTGAAAAAATCAGATAAGATTTGAAGTTAAAGTTTCAACCTGTCATACATGTCGGCCGGCCATGAGGTCATACAGTATCTGGTATGACGTGCTCATCATCAGAGTTGTGAGATCCACAGTGCAGATATTTGCTATTTGAAACAAGTATACAAATAAGTTTACTTTGCACTTTTTCTGCATTTGAGGCAAAGAATTGTGGTCATTGACCTTCGCAACATGAGGCCACACTTTTTTTAACTTTTGTTTCAAGGGCCCGCCGACCCAACTGAAAAGCAGCTGGAAAGGAAATAAATTAAACAAATCTCCCGCTAGTAATATAGATCCTCTTCTACAATATAAAATGCTTCTAATGTTAATTCCATGTCTACATCACCATCAGTGATCCATGAACCCAGCTGCAGTTTTAACTCCACGGCAGAATGACTTTCATATAAATAAATAAGTGATTGACACAGCTATTTATTTTTATTTTTGTTGACTGCATCTGTAGTCTCGTGGTAGAGCGTCTGCCCGGAAAACGGAAAGTCCAGGGTTCGATCCCTGACCTTGTCATACCAAAAGATGTTAAAAAATGGTTCTTGTCACCCTATCTGGCGCTCGGCAATAGGGGTCTAAAACAAGGACTGGTCGGCTTGGAGTCAGTATACTGTGTCTGAGTTGGGTATCCATGTTAGACTGCAGCATGGTATCTCAGTGGGCTAGCACTATAAATTGACATCAGTCCGGACTAGTACATGCAGGCACACACAAAAACTGGTACACACACGCACACACATTGCTTATAAGTGCAATAATCGTGAACGCGATGTTAAACCCAATTTCACGTCGCCTCACCTTTTATTTTTGTTTCAACCGACCTTGTGTGGAATAAATCCGTGAAGCATAAAAGTGTGGCTTTGTGACATCTAGCTGTAGAAAATTGTGTCTTCAGTGTTCTGTAAATGCTTTATGGTACAACAACCTTCATATGTTTGCTGTGAGAAATTAGTTTTTTAACAGCGTGTTTGTTTGTTTGTTTGTTTCAGACAATATCGGCCAGCCAGACAGCAGATTGTGATCGACTTCAGCTCCATCGAGGCCCTGAACAACAATGTGGCAGAAGACCTAAAGAAGATCAATCTGGACGAGTCCGGAACTCAGTGATGACTCAGTGATGACTTGTCGGGAAAGACGATTGTGGCGGGAGCCAAGTGGAACATGCTTGGGCTTCATCAGCAACTGGGGCGTTTTGTTCTCTCAAGTGTCTGAACGTCGTCAAGTTGTCATGAAGCTTGAAACTTGTTAGGTATAGTGTGAGTGAGTGAGTGAGTGCGTGAGTGCGTGAGTGGGGATTAATTGGTATGCCACTTTTAGCAATATTCAAGCAATATCACTGTGAAGTGTTGGATAGGTCGTGTGTTTATGAGTAATTGAGGCAACATGTGGAATTGTAATGCTGATTGCAACGTTAAACAACAAACAAACAAACAAGTAGAACATCCATGTCAGGATTCTTCTCCATATTAGTTTGATCCATGTTTCTGTTCATCAATAGGAAGGATGTCTCAGTGTCCTGTCAGTAAGGCTGTGTCAGTTTGATAAGATCCAAACGAAAATCCTACCTGGCGTCTACCAGCCCTCTGTTTTTTTTTCATGCCTGCTATATCCATGGATAAAAGCATGCCATGATATATCTGACATGCTATTCAAAATGGGGTTGAGCCAGAATCATTCTCTCTCTACTGACATTCAGAGTTCAAGGGGGGTGGTCGGGTAGCCTAGTGGTTAAAGTGTTCGCTCGTCACGCCGAAGACCCGGGTTCGATTCCCGACATGGGTACAATGTGTGAAGCCCATTTCTGGTGTCCCCCGCCGTGATATTCCTGGAATATTGCTAAAAGCGGCGTAAAATCAAACTCACTCACTCACACTCAGAATTCAAGGAGAGAAAGTTCAGTAGGTAAGATACCTCTCCGGACCAAACAGCACTGGTATGACTAAAGTCATACTAAAGACTAAAGTCTGAGCAAAACATCTTGCTGGTTAAAGCTTGTAAACTACACACTAAACAATGACCCTCGGGAAGATCCATTGAAACAGTTGTCGCCTATAGGACAGAAATAACACTAGTATAGGTGCTGATATGAAATTTTGACATCTTACTTGGAAAAAAATCAACGTGTGGCTGAAAAAGTAATAGTCTTGGTTCTCAGGCACTGAACGTATCATCATAAAGTTTGCCGCATGTTTCGTTTATATTTCCATTTAAACTAAAAAACAAAAAAATCTTTAAATATTCCAAGTCCAATGGTAGACAAATGTTCCATGTATATTCCAGTATTTTACTCATCAAGAAATACATCTACGTAGGGAGGCCCTTTCCCAGGTTGATTGTACACAACTGTTTATTTGGTTACACAACTGTTTACATACAAGTTTGAACCACTAAAAAAGAAAAGAAAAAATCACCGCCTGCACACACTATATTTTCAAAAGCCATTGTTTGAGAACCGATTCTTTTATTTTTTAAGCCTGATAATCTTGTTCCTATATATTGACCTGTGAAGATTCCGGGGTAGAATAGGTCTTCAGCAACCCATGCTTGCCATTAAAGGTGACTATGCTTGTCGTAAAAGGCGACTAACAGGATTGGGTGTTCACACTCGCTGACTTGGTTGATGCATGTCATCGATCCCTATTGCGTGGATCGATGCTCATGATATTAATCACTGGATTGTCTGGTCCAGACTCAATTGTTTACAGACCGCCGTCATATAGCTGGAATATTGCTGAGGGCGGTGTTAAACAACAAACCAAACCAAACCAATGTTCCTTATTTTATATATTTGATCATGGTTTGATCAAATGTTTCAGAAACAACTGGAAGCCATTGTATGCCATCAAGTCTTAATGTCAATATATTTTGCAGCCAGTTATTCACTGGTGTGTAAATGAACAAAGTTCTTCTGGGACGTTCTAAGGAAAGCTGTGTATCCTGGTGATGCAGAGATCCGTTCATACCTTTAAGAAGCCTTGGTGCTAGTAAAGTTGTATTTGTGTTTTCAATACACCACTTGTAGGAGGTATTTTGTTGTGAAATAGCACCAGAAAACAAATTCATCTGTCAATGCGATGTCCATGCTTGCAACTGACCCGGAAAGATGCAGGGTAGACACTCCTGGGTAATATCTGTTTTCATCCATAACAAAACGATGGTTGTCCCAGTCATCAGTGACAGATCTACAAGTAAATTATGTTCAGCAATGAGTGATGATTCTTTGTTTGAAACAGAAAGAGTATAAGTTTCTGTGTTTGTATATTTATTATAAATTGCATTATGTTTACATGCTTCATTTTAATAAAGCTTTGTGCTGTTTGATTTGTTGTTGAAACTGTTCTTGTCTTCCTGATTGTGCCACTAGTGAGTCCAGAGGAGACGAAGTGGGTATGTTTTCTAGGGAATTCTTCACTTGTGCACGATTGACCAGAGCGTCTCCGATTTTGCAGGAGATTGCGGAAACTGATATTGTCTGCAGTTGTTGTACTTTTTGTCAGCATTTAGTTTGAGAATGCTGACTTACATCTAAAAACTGCACTTCGTGTACATGTTTCCAGTGCATGGTCTCTTGAAACTTGCTCATCAGCTTAACTGGTGACTTTTGCATTCTTTAGATTTTGATTTTTATGTTTCCATGTGAACGATTTAGACGTAATCTCAAACAACTCAAGTCTTCATTTCGAGCCACAACCCTCAAAATAATGAATATTTTTGCACAAAACTATACATGTGCAATGATCATAGGCTCAACTATTGCCTTTCCATATTTTGATTTTTTATACCCCCAACAAAATGTCGGGGGTATATAGTCATAGATCTTCCTGAGGCAAGTGAGTTAACTGACTATAAAAGTCCAGTTTCCACCCTTGCCGAACTAGGCTGGTATTATGTAGTTACATTTTGGCTGGACTAACGAGTCTATGCATAGTCCAATCAAAATCGCGCACCGAAATCGAAATTCGGTTCGTAAAGCGTCATGCAGATTTCGGTCGACTGCAGAATTTGCAAAGCATGTGCACCGCTAACTCGTCAACAGATATTTTCTAAATCTTTTTTTATAGTTTCTAATCAAGGTGCTCACGTGATTTGATGCACTTCGCGATGTTAGACTCGTTTTATCACAATATAGATCTTGATTATCGATCAGATCGTCTTGATTGGGCGCCACCGTTTTGTTTGAAGCAAATGCAAGTGATACGAGAGGTTGAATCTGATTGGTCAATAGGAGAGGCAGAGAAAGGACATTACTCGTAACAGCCACTGGTGGCGGTACGGTCGAGCCCAGGAATTCCAGCCTAGTTCGGCAAGGGTGGAAACTGGACTATAAAGTCAGTTAACTCTCTTGCCTCGGGAAGATGATAGTCATACCAACATTCCGTCCGTCCGTCCGAAAAGTTTCTCTTAAACTATTTAGTGGATTCATCTCAAACTTAGTACATATAATCTGTGTCATATGGAGGGGTGCAGTCAAAAGAAAAAGAAATTGTTTTTATTACTTTTCCAATTTTTATGAATTTTTCAAACCCTAAGTTAACCCTATCCTAGCTATTTAATTTGTAACAACTGACACACTAGGCGGGTCGGGGGTATTAGTGAGCCACGCTCACTTTTGCACTTGTTTATTTGCTGTGTTTCCATGGAAACAATTTGGACTAAGTTTAAAACAAGAAGCGTTTGTTTCCCGCCCCAAATCTACAGCTAATGAATATTTCTGCATGGAACCATTATCTTACAGGCTAATATTTACATGATTGTTTTTCGTATTAGCAAACACATTTACAGTAACAACTTAAACAAATGTATCCAAAAAAGGAGGAAACATGTTTTTGAGTTTAAATCACATTCTAGTTACTGTCGTTATATAATCGGGTCTGGCAGCAGTTTCAACAGCCAAGCCGTGGAAAGAGATGCTGTGGCGTCGGGAGATGTCCCCAAGTGGTACCATGTACATGATGAAAAGGAGTGGCCCCAATACAGATCCTTGCGGGACTCCGTAGGGCAACTGGATCGGTTCGGAAATAGACTTGCCAACTGTCACACTGGGATCGAACATGCAAGTAAAACTCCAGCCACACTGAGGCTGTACCCAAGGTACCAAAACACGTTGTCAACCGCTTTAGAGTCAGTGAGTGAGTTGGGTTTAACGCCGCTTTTAACATTATTCAAGTCATATCACGGCGTTGAACCACTTTAGTAGTATGATTTGGTCTACCGCATCAAAAGCGGCTGGCGACTTTTGCTGAGGAGAGAGAATTAGTAATGACGATTTTTACTGGTTACACCTTGTTCATTCCTCAGATGATGTCAAGTCTCTCACGAGAGATGCGTAATGTATTGGTCATGTCAGGCGACGATTCATAATAATATAAATCTTATCAATATTTTCGTTTGTTGGAACTTCCTGAACTTGTTCGTCCTCGAGGTTCTCTCTTCCCCCATGATCTCAACGGCCCACCTCTTAACGTGATAGAGGGGCGGTCGGGTAGCCTAGTGGTTAAAGCGTTCGCTCGTCACGCCGAAGACCCGGGTTCGATTCCCGACATGAGTACAATGTGTGAAGCCCATTTCTGGTGTCCCCCGCCGTGATATTGCTGGAATACTCACTCACCCATTCACTCACTCACTCTTAACGTGATAGGATTGGTTTGTTTGTTGTTTAACACCGCACTCTGCAATATTCCAGCTATATGACGGCGGTCTGTAAAAAATCGAGTCTGGACCAGACAATCCAGTGATTGACATGAACATGGATCCACGCAACTAGGATTCGATGACATGCATCAACCAAGTTAGCGAGTCTGACCACCCGATCCCGTAAGTCGCCTCTTATGACAAGCATTGTCGCCTCTTACGGCAAGCATGGGTTGCTGAAGACCTGTTCTACCCCGGATCTTCACGGAACAGTGTGCCACTTTGTCCGCACCGATGACTGTTGGCCATTTCAGCTGAAGATACTTGCACGTCGAGTTATTTTCAACACAATACATAGTCACTTTGGTGCCTGCAGAAATATGCTGCCTGGGTGTACATTTGCTTCGAATGCAGCATGTAGCATGGGAACTGTTGTTCTTAATACATTGCACACTGTTGATGGTGGACTTTACATCCTTCATAGCTGGGTTCAGAACGTTCCATCCACCACTGGTTAATATCAAAGCGTTCAGATTTATCTGGTCAATGATGCTGATCCTTAGAAAAAATGTTTCATCTCTTTTCGGAATTTGACATAGTAAGGGGGTTAGAACAGGTCTTCAGCAACCTATGCTTTTCGTAAGAGGCGACTATGCTTGTCGTAAGAGGCGAATAACGGGATCGGGTGGTCAGGCCCGCTGACTTGGTTGATGCATGTCATTGTTTCCCAATTGCGTCGATTGATGCTCATGATGTCGGTCACTGGATTGTCTGCTCCAGACTCGATTATGTTTCAGACCGCCGTCAAATGGTTGGAATATTGCTAAGTGCGTTTAACAACAAACAAACAACATGATCAGGACACATCACAGGAAACTGAATGCAAACAAAATGGAAGTAATATATTCTAATTATTGTAACGTTGCAGTGGCACTAGTAGAGGAAAATGCTTTACTAAGTAATGTCAGAAATAGAAAAAAATGTGTTTGATATACTACTTCATTAACCTTATTATTAACAGCGTAAACAGTTATTAACTCAAAAGTATTTGATATAATTTAGCATTTAAGTTTAAAATAATATTCTAAACTGCCAGGCAAAATAAAAGTTTAACCAAACGATTACAAATGTTATACAGCTTGTTCAATACCGTTAATACAGACCCGACCCTATGTTACAGTTTAACTTACGGTTTGGATTTCCAACCGAAAAGCACTGACAGTGTTTATTTTCTTAGAAATTTGAAGGTCGCTTCAAATGAGTGGCAGGTGTGACAAACGCCCGGCTCTGGTTCCCAAGATGCATATCTGTGTCCCCTGTGTGGAGTTCGTGGAATAGGCCCCAGTCCACACTCTTTGTCATATGAGCCGCCTAGTGCGGATTGGCTGGTGACTGTGTGTCCCGGTTGATTGTGTGTCATCGTGCCGCTACTGGTTGACTGTGTCATCGTGCCGCTACTGGTTGACTGTGTCATCGTGCCCAAACTGGTTGATTGTGTGTCATCGTGCCGCTACTGGTTGATTGTGTGTCATCTTGCCCCAACTGGTTGATTGTGTGTCATCGTGCCGCTACTGGTTGATTGTGTGTCATCGTGGCGCTACTGGTTGATTGTGTGTCATCGTGCCGCTACTGGTTGATTGTGTGTCATCGTGCCGCTACTGGTTGATTGTGTGCCATCGTGCCGCTACTGGTTGATTGTGTGTCATCGTGGCGCTACTGGTTGACTGTGTGTCATCGTGCCGCTACTGGTTGACTGTGTGTCATCGTGCCGCTACTGGTTGACTGTGTCATCGTGCCGCTACTGGTTGACTGTGTGTCATCGTGCCGCTACTGGTTGATTGTGTGTCATCGTGCTGCTACTGGTTGATTGTGTGTCATCGTGGTGCTACTGGTTCACTGTGTGTCATCACGCCGCTACTGGTTCACTGTGTGTCATCGTGCCGCTACTGGTTGATTGCGTGTCATCGTGGCGCTACTGGTTGATTGTGTGTCATCGTGCCGCTACTGGTTGATTGTGTGTCATCGTGCCGCTACTGGTTGATTGTGTGTCATCGTGCCGCTACTGGTTGATTGTGTGTCATCGTGGCGCTACTGGTTGACTGTGTGTCATCGTGCCGCTACTGGTTGACTGTGTGTCATCGTGCCGCTACTGGTTGACTGTGTCATCGTGCCGCTACTGGTTGACTGTGTGTCATCGTGCCGCTACTGGTTGATTGTGTGTCATCGTGCCGCTACTGGTTGACTGTGTCATCGTGCCCCAACTGGTTGATTGTGTGTCATCGTGCCCCGACTGGTTGATTGTGTGTCATCGTGGCGCTACTGGTTGACTGTGTGTCATCGTGCCGCTACTGGTTGACTGTGTCATCGTGCTCCAACTGGTTGATTGTGTGTCATCGTGCCGCTACTGGTTGACTGTGTGTCATCGTGCCGCTACTGGTTGACTGTGTGTCATCGTGCCGCTACTGGTTGACTGTGTGTCATCGTGCCGCTACTGGTTGATTGTGTGTCATCGTGCCGCTTCTGGTTGACTGTGTGTCATCGTGCCGCTACAGGTTGATTGTGTGTCATCGTGCCGCTTCTGGTTGACTGTGTGTCATCATGACGCTACTGGTTAACTGTGTGTCATCGTGCCGCTACGGGTTGACTGTGTGTCATCATGCCGCTACTGGTTGACTGTGTGTCATCGTAGGCGGCCAGCCAGCCAACCCACTAACCAACCAGCTAACCAACCTTCCTTCTCCGGGCACAACGTTCAAACCTGTCCATTGTCTGGACTCAAATCAGCTAAATGTATTGATATTATAATGAACTACCCCAAGTATACCAGTGCATAAAACACAACCACTTTTTACCTTTTGCACAGGTGGGTATATTTACCCTTTGGGCAAAGAGTTTGCACGTAAACAGACGTACATCAAGTACATTCAGCCAGAGGTAGGCCATATGTTCATGAACAGACAGACAGTTTTCAAGACCGCCGGATTCATTTTGTTTATTTGGATGGACCCATCTTTTAGCCACCGCATATGCCTCTGTTAATGCCGTTTCGGTGTTAAATTCTAACTCAAATACCCTATCAACATGCTAGTACACCAGAACAAGAAAGCCTATTTTATTCTGTTTATTTATTTTTCAAGCATAAAATACCAAGGGCAAGAGAGTGAATACAATGCAAGCATATCACACAAAAGAAGTGTAACAATTACATGTTAAGTCAACTATGGAAGGACAACGATTACATAGACAGCAAAAGGCATGTTATGTAAATGAAAAGGCAACATCTCTATCACATGTCTACCCGAAAGAAGACATATATGTTTCACATTTGCATCTATGCAGGAAGATTCAGGGTGAAAAGAACTATCCACAAAACTGTTTGAAAAGAGAAAGGACTTCCATTTTCAACTTTCCCTTTGTGCAGAACAGTATCACAGCATCTGGTAGTGATTTATAAACACGTGTGTAATACATGGTCGGAACCGTACAATGGACCCTACTCTTTTCTACTTTAAGCAGATATGTGTAATTATTACAAATATATCAAATTAAATTCTCCCAAATAAAGTTAAACGACACAATTTAAACCAATCAAAAGGCGAGTGTCTATTTATAATTATTATGAAGTTCCATATTTTCTTTTGTGTCATGCTTAACTGATTTATAGTGGAGGGTTTGGACCAACATCATCACGCACGAGAGTTATAGGGCAGCTGGTTTTCGCTGAGATAGTATAAGTATAAGTAAAAGTATAAGTAAAAGTATAAGTAAAAGCGTATAGATAAAACAACCTCCACCCAAATACTGCCATGAATAAATTGAAAAAAAAAATCTCCCGGAAACATGAAAGTGGCATTATCAAAAGAGATCACCTAAAGTGGGCCTCTTTGGTTTAAAAGTATATTGGGAGGATTACCACCTTCTCGGGGAGGATGGATGCTGGAAATCAGTAAAATCTGTGCACGGTGAAGCAAGAGGTGTTATGTCTTTTACAAACTTGAAGAATTTGAGCAGTGAGTGGCCCATGAATCTAAGACAGCAGTTCACATACAAATTCATTCCAAAATACTTTGCTTATCATGAATCTCGGACTACAAATTCATCGTTAAACAATGTACTGTTGATTTGGAAATCAGTGTTATGTAAACATGTTCCCCTCATTAACCAGATGAAAGAAACACTTTTTGATGAGATTTGAGTTCAGGTAACCATTCCATCTCTGACAATCAGTGGGACCTGGAGGCAACTGTACCTTGATTGGTTCCATCTTTCCACGAACATCAGTGGAGCCTGGAGGACAATGAAGCGTGATTAGGTCCATCTGTCCACGAACATCAGTGGAGCCTGGAGGAAACTGTAGCAGGACTGGGTCCATCTTTCCACGAACATCAGTGGAGCCTGGAGGAAACTGTAGCAGGACTGGGTCCATCTTTCCACGAACATCAGTGGAGCCTGGAGGAAACTGTAGCAGGACTGGGTCCATCTTTCCACGAACATCAGTGGGACCTGGAGGCAGCTGTTCCTTGATTGGGTCCATCTTTCCACCATCATCAGTGGGACCTCGAGCAAACTGTATCTTGATTGGGTCCCTCTTTCCTCGATATGGTCTGAAATACATATGTTTACATTCTAGATGCACATTGCAGCTGTCAATGATGAAATTGTTATTACGGTATTCAAATATTCGTATGCAATGATTTTTTGTCATAGTAGCGTTTCATCAGGACAGTTAGGCTGCTTGACTCAAACTCAACTCAAGTACAAGCAGAAAGTAAATATGCTCTACAACAATCACTGACCTGTGTTCGACACCAGCCATGCCCAGAAGTCTCTTTGATGCTTTCACATCGACCTTTTTCTTGTTCTCATCTGACAAGTAGACAACCTTACGGATTCCAGACTGAATGATCATCTGGGAGCAGTGGTTACATGGGAACAGAGTCACGAAGATCGTGCAGCCGTTCAAGTTAGCAGAATACTTGTTCATTATGGCGTTCAGCTCAGCGTGGCAGACTGGAAATAAATACTTTCATAACAAGAAGTGGCTCGAACTGTTTTCTTCTCACAATAATTCACTTTCTCCTTAATCCTACTACTCACTGCCCACCATGTCATAAAATCCCCACCATTGCATGCCCTGATAGCGTGGCTCGTTGTTCACTCACTCACTGTGTTTATGTGGACTTAATGAATAAAAATACTCTGTTTCCAAATATCATATTTTGTCATTGAGTACATGAAGAAAGTTAGCATTCATATGAATTTGTTATTTAGAGAATAATGATATCAAGTATGCTTAAATGACATTGACCTTTAATGGAGACTATTCTGATAGTAAATATCATACCATAACGTTTCTTATTCTTGTCCCAACCGTCTTCCTTGCCCCACGGTAGTTCGTCATTACCGCAGTTATTGGGCATTCCGTTGTAACCGGTACCGACGATCCTCTTATCTTTGTTCACAATACAAGCTCCGACCTGTAACACAAGATGTAAAACAAGATATAACATAAGATGTAAGACAAGATGTAAGACAAGATGTCAGACAAGATGTAACACAAGATGTAACACAAGATGTCAGACAAGATGTAATACAAGATGTAACATGAGATGTAAAACAAGATATAATACAAGATGTAACATAAGCTGTAAGACAAGTCGTAACATAAGATGTAACACAAGATGTAACATAAGCTGTAAGACAAGATGTAATACAAGATGTAACACAAGATGTTACACAAGATGTAACACAAGATGTAACATGAGATGTAATACAAGATGTAACATGAGATGTAACACAAGATGTAATACAAGATGTAACATGAGATGTAACACAAGATGTAATACAAGATGTAACATGAGATGTAACACAAGATGTAATACAAGATGTAACATGAGATGTAACACAAGATGTAATACAAGATGTAACATGAGATGTAACATGAGATGTAACACAAGATGTAATACAAGATGTAACATGAGATGCAACACAAGATGTAACACAAGATGTAACATGAGATGTAACATGAGATGTAACACAAGATGTAACACAAGATGTAACATGAGATGTAACACAAGATGTAATACAAGATGTAACATGACACGTAACACAAGATGTAATACAAGATGTAACATGAGATGTAACACAAGATGTAACATGATATGTAACACAAGATGTAATACAAGATGTAACATGAGATGTAATACAAGATGTAACATGAGATGTAATACAAGATGTAACATGAGATGTAACACAAGATGTAATACAAGATGTAACACAAAATGTAATACAAGATGTAACATGAGATGTAACACAAGATGTTATACAAGATGTAACACAAGATGTTACACAAGATGTAACACAAGATGTAACATGAGATGTAATACAAGATGTAACATGAGATGTAACACAAGATGTAATACAAGATGTAACACAAAATGTAATACAAGATGTAACATGAGATGTAACACAAGATGTAACACGAGATGTAACACAAGATGTAACATGAGATGTAACACAAGATGTAACATGAGATGTAACATGAGATGTAACATGAGATGTAACACAAGATGTAATACAAGATGTAACATGAGATGTAACATGAGATGTAACACAAGATGTAACACAAGATGTAACATGAGATGTAACACAAGATGTAATACAAGATGTAACATGAGATGTAACACAAGATGTAATACAAGATGTAACATGAGATGTAACACAAGATGTAACACAAGATGTAACATGAGATGTAACATGAGATGTAACATGAGATCTAACACAAGATGTAACACAAGATGTAACATGAGATGTAACATGAGATGTAACACAAGATGTAATACAAGATGTAACATGAGATGTAATACAAGATGTAATACAAGATGTAACATGAGATGTAACACAAGATGTAACATGAGATGTAACACAAGATGTAATACAAGATGTAACATGAGATGTAACATGAGATGTAATACAAGATGTAACATGAGATGTAACACAAGATGTAATACAAGATGTAACACAAAATGTAATACAAGATGTAACATGAGATGTAACACAAGATGTAATACAAGATGTAACACAAGATGTTACACAAGATGTAACACAAGATGTAACATAAGATGTAATACAAGATGTAACACGAGATGTAACACAAGATGTAACATGAGATGTAACACACGATGTAACATGAGATGTAACACGAGATGTAACATGAGATGTAACATGAGATGTAACATGAGATGTAACACAAGATGTAACATGAGATGTAACACAAGATGTAACATGAGATGTAACATGAGATGTAACACGAGATGTAACATGAGATGTAACACAAGATGTAACATTAGATGTAACACGAGATGTAACACAAGATGTAACATGAGATGTAACACAAGATGTAACATGAGATGTAACATGAGATGTAACATGAGATGTAACACAAGATGTAACATGAGATGTAACACAAGATGTAACATGAGATGTAACATGAGATGTAACATGAGATGTAACATGAGATGTAACACAAGATGTAACATGAGATGTAACACAAGATGTAACATGAGATGTAACATGAGATGTAACACGAGATGTAACACAAGATGTAACATGAGATGTAACATGAGATGTAACATCAGATGTAACATGAGATGTAACACAAGATGTAACATGAGATGTAACACAAGATGTAATACAAGATGTAACATGAGATGTAACATGAGATGTAACACAAGATGTAACACAAGATGTAACATGAGATGTAACACAAGATGTAATACAAGATGTAACATGAGATGTAACATGAGATGTAACACAAGATGTAATACAAGATGTAACATGAGATGTAACACAAGATGTAACACAAGATGTAACATGAGATGTAACATGAGATGTAACACAAGATGTAACAGAAGATGTAACATGAGATGTAACACAAGATGTAATACAAGATGTAACATGAGATGTAACACAAGATGTAATACAAGATGTAACATGAGATGTAACATGAGATGTAACACAAGATGTAATACAAGATGTAACATGAGATGTAACATGAGATGTAATACAAGATGTAACACAAGATGTAACACAAGATGTAACACAAGATGTAAAACAAAATGTAATACAAGATGTAACATGAGATGTAACACAAGATGTAATACAAGATGTAACACAAGATGTTACACAAGATGTAACACAAGATGTAACATGAGATGTAATACAAGATGTAACATGAGATGTAACACAAGATGTAATACAAGATGTAACACAAAATGTAATACAAGATGTAACATGAGATGTAACACAAGATGTAACATGAGATGTAACACAAGATGTAACATGAGATGTAATACAAGATGTAACATGAGATGTAACACAAGGTGCAACACAAAATGTAACATGAGATGTAACACAAAATGTAACATGAGATGTAACATAAGATGTAATACAAGATGTAAAACAAAATGTAATACAAGATGTAACATGAGATGTAACACAAGATGTAATACAAGATGTAACACAAGATGTTACACAAGATGTAACACAAGATGTAACATGAGATGTAATACAAGATGTAACATGAGATGTAACACAAGATGTAATACAAGATGTAACACAAAATGTAATACAAGATGTAACATGAGATGTAACACAAGATGTAACATGAGATGTAACACAAGATGTAACATGAGATGTAACACAAGATGTAACATGAGATGTAACATGAGATGTAACACAAGATGTAATACAAGATGTAACATGAGATGTAACACAAGATGTAACACAAGATGTAACATGAGATGTAACACAAAATGTAATAGAAGATGTAACACGAGATGTAACACAAGATGTAACATGAGATGTAACACAAGATGTAACATGAGATGTAACATGAGATGTAACACAAGATGTAACACAAGATGTAACATGAGATGTAACACAAGATGTAATACAAGATGTAACATGAGATGTAACACAAGGTGCAACACAAAATGTAACATGAGATGTAACACAAAATGTAACATGAGATGTAACATAAGATGTAACACAAGATGTAACATGAGATGTAACATGAGATGTAAGATGAGATGTAACATGAGATGTAACACAAGATGTAACACAAGATGTAACATGAGATGTAACACAAGATGTAACATGAGATGTAACACAAGATGTAACATGAGATGTAACATGAGATGTAACATGAGATGTAACACAAGATGTAACACAAGATGTAACATGAGATGTAACACAAGATGTAACACAAGATGTAACATGAGATGTAACATGAGATGTAACACAAGATGTAACACAAGATGTAACATGAGATGTAACACAAGATGTAACACAAGATGTAACATGAGATGTAACATGAGATGTAACATGAGATGTAACACAAGATGTAACATGAGATGTAACACAAGATGTAACATGAGATGTAACATGAGATGTAACATGAGATGTAGTACAAGATGTAACATGAGATGTAACATGAGATGTAACATGAGATGTAGTACAAGATGTAACATGAGATGTAACATGAGATGTAACACAAGATGTAACATGAGATGTAACACAAGATGTAACATGAGATGTAACATGAGATGTAACATGAGATGTAACACAAGATGTAACACAAGATGTAACATGAGATGTAACACACGATGCAACACAAAATGTAACACAGGATGTAAAACAAAATGTGAATGAGTGAGTATGGTTTTATGCCGCTTTTAGCAATATTCCAGCAATATCACGGCGGGGGTCACCAGAAATGGGCTTCACACATTGTAACCTTGTCGGGAATCGAACCTGGGTCTTCGGCGTGACGAACGAACGCTTTAACCACTAGGCTACCCGACCGCCCAACACAAGATGTAACACAAGATGTTACACAAGATGTTACACAAGATGTAATACAAGATGTAACATGAGATGTTACACAAGATGTTACACAAGATGTAATACAAGATGTAACATGAGATGTAACACAAGATGTTACACAAGATGTAATACAAGATGTAACACAAGATGTAATACAAGATGTAACACAAGATGTCACACAAGATGTAAAACAAGATGTAATACAAGATGTAACATGAGATGTAACACAAGATGTAATACAAGATGTAACATGAGATGTAACACAAGATGTAACATGAGATGTAACACAAGATGTTACACAAGATGTAACATAGGATTGATGTAGTAGCCTGTACATGTTTAGAGTTCTGGTTCATAGAAAGTTCTGATGATGTTAGAATTTAAAACTTACCGCCTGTAAAAGCTTTGCTCCATTATGGAAACTTAGGGCGTTCATCCTCACACGAGGCATTAAATACACATGACAGATTTTGTAAGCTTATACCTCATCTTAATAGAGCCTCTCCAAATATTGTAGCTGGAGGTGAAATGGGACGTTTTCATCAATATGGACCTTACCTTACCTGTGTTTTGGGGTCTTTGCTTCTCTGTGAAGAGAGACTAGCGACGGCCATGAAGTATTCCTCCCAACCTAAGTACCCCTTCCTCTTCTCATTCTTAGCATTTTCACAGCTTGAAACACAAAAGTACAAGAGAGGGAATTGTAGAATAGGTAACTGATGACGTCTCGAATCTGTACGGGTCAAGCTGGAACTATTAGTGTAGGTACACTATCAATAAGAGTGCAGGTTACACTGGTACTATGAGTGCAGGTTACACTGGCACTATGAGCGCATGTTACAATGGCTCTATGAGTGCTGGTTACACTGGCTCTGTGAGTGCAGGTTACACTGGTACTCTGAGTGCTGGTTACACTGGCACTATGAGTGCATGTTAAACTGGCACTATGAGTGCTGGTTACACTGGCTTTGTGAGTGCAGGTTACACTGGCACTATGAGTGCAGGTTACATTGGCACTGTAAGTGCATGTTACACTGGCTCTATGAGTGGATGTTACACTGGCACTATGAGTGCATGTTGCTCTGGCTCTATGAGTGCGTGTTACACTGGCACTCTGAGTGCATGTTACACTGCCACTAAGTATAAGTGCAGGTTACACTGGCACTATGAGTGCTGGTTACACTGACACTATGACTGCAGGTTACACTGGCTCTATGAGTGCATGTTACACTGGCACTATGAGTGCAGGTTACACTGCCACTATAAGTGCATGTTACACTGGCTCTATGAGCGCATGTTACACTGGCTCTATGAGTGCATGTTACACTGGCACTATGAGTGCATGTTACAATGGCTCTATGAGTGCATGTTACACTGGCACTCTGAGTGCATGTTTCACTGGCACTATGAGTGCATGTTACACTGGCACTATGAGTGCAGGTTACGCTGGCACTATGAGTGCCGGTTACACTGGCACCATAAGTGCATATTACACTGGCTCTGTTAGTGCAAGTTACACTGGTACTATGAGTGCAGGTAACACTGGCTCTGTGAGTGCAGGTTACACTGGCAATATGAGTGCTGGTTACACTGGCTCTATGAGTGCATGTTACAATGGCTGTGTGAGTGCAGGTTACATAGGCACTATGAGTGCAGGTTACACTGTCTCTGTGAGTGCAGGTTACACTGGTACTATGAGTGCAGGTTACACTGGTACTATGAATGCAGGTTACACTGGTACTGTGAGTGCAGGTTACACTGGCTCTGTGAGTGCAGGTTACACTGGCTCTATGAGTGCAGGTTACACTGACTGAGTGCTGGTTACACTTGCTCTGTGAGTGCTGGTTAAACTGGCACTGTGAGTGCAGGTTACACTGACACTATGAGTGCAAGTTACACTTAAACAATGAGTGTTGGTTACACTGGCACTATGAGTGCAGGTTACACTGGCTCTGTGAGTGCTGGTTACACTGGCACTATGACTGCAGGTTACACTGGCACTATGAGTGCAGGTTACACTGGCACTATTTGTGCAGGTTACACTGGCTCTGTGAGTGCTGGTTACACTGGCTCTATCAGTGCAGGTTACACTGGCTCTGTGAGTGCTGGTTACACTGGCACTCTGAGTGCAGGTTACACTGGCACTATGAGTGCTGGTTACACTTAAACAATGAGTGTTGGTTACACTGGCACTATGAGTGCAGGTTACACTGGCTCTGTGAGTGCTGGTTAAACTGGCACTATGACTGCAGGTTACACTGGCACTATGAGTGCAGGTTACACTGGCACTATTTGTGCAGGTTACACTGGCTCTGTGAGTGCTGGTTACACTGGCACTATGAGTGCTGGTTACACTGGCTCTATGAGTGCAGGTTACACTGGCACTATGAGTGCAGGTTACACTGGCACTATGAGTGCAGGTTACACTTGCACTATGAGACAAGGTTACACTGGCACTATGAGTGCAGGTTACACTGACACTATGAGTGCAGGTTACACTGGCACTATGAGTGCAGGTTACACTGGCTCTATCAGTGCAGGTTACAGTGGCACTATGAGTGCAGGTTACACTGGCACTATGAGTGCATGTTACACTGGCTCTATCAGTGCAGGTTACAGTGGCACTATGAGTGCAGGTTACACTGGCACTATGAGTGCAGGTTACACTGGCTCTATGAGTGCAGGTTACAGTGGCACTATGAGTGCTGGTTACACTGGCTCTATGAGTGCAGGTTACAGTGGCACTATGAGTGCTGGTTACACTAACACTATGAGTGCAGGTTACACTGGCACTGTGAGTGCAGGTTACACTAGCACTATGAGTGCAGGTTACACTGGCTCTATCAGTGCTGGTTACACTGGCACTATGACTGCAGGTTACACCGGTACTATGCATGTTGTATAAACTGTCAATATGCGTCTATGTTAAATTGACAATATGTGTGGAGGTTAAACTGTCAATATGCGTAGAGGTTAAACTGTCAACGTGTGTATGTTAAACTGACAATATGTGTGGATCGGGTATACATGATGTAATGGTAGGGTCTATCAGTGCAGGTTACAGTGGCACTATGAGTGCAGGTTACACTGGCACTATTTGTGCAGGTTACACTGGCTCTGTGAGTGCTGGTTACACTGGCACTATGAGTGCAGGTTACACTGGCACTATTTGTGCAGGTTACACTGGCTCTGTGAGTGCTGGTTACACTGGCTCTATCAGTGCAGGTTACACTGGCTCTGTGAGTGCTGGTTACACTGGCACTCTGAGTGCAGGTTACACTGGCACTATGAGTGCTGGTTACACTTAAACAATGAGTGTTGGTTACACTGGCACTATGAGTGCAGGTTACACTGGCTCTGTGAGTGCTGGTTAAACTGGCACTATGACTGCAGGTTACACTGGCACTATGAGTGCAGGTTACACTGGTACTATGAGTGCAGGTTACACTGGTACTATGAATGCAGGTTACACTGGTACTGTGAGTGCAGGTTACACTGGCTCTGTGAGTGCAGGTTACACTGGCTCTATGAGTGCAGGTTACACTGACTGAGTGCTGGTTACACTTGCTCTGTGAGTGCTGGTTAAACTGGCACTGTGAGTGCAGGTTACACTGACACTATGAGTGCAAGTTACACTTAAACAATGAGTGTTGGTTACACTGGCACTATGAGTGCAGGTTACACTGGCTCTGTGAGTGCTGGTTACACTGGCACTATGACTGCAGGTTACACTGGCACTATGAGTGCAGGTTACACTGGCACTATTTGTGCAGGTTACACTGGCTCTGTGAGTGCTGGTTACACTGGCTCTATCAGTGCAGGTTACACTGGCTCTGTGAGTGCTGGTTACACTGGCACTCTGAGTGCAGGTTACACTGGCACTATGAGTGCTGGTTACACTTAAACAATGAGTGTTGGTTACACTGGCACTATGAGTGCAGGTTACACTGGCTCTGTGAGTGCTGGTTAAACTGGCACTATGACTGCAGGTTACAGTGGCACTATGAGTGCAGGTTACACTGGCACTATTTGTGCAGGTTACACTGGCTCTGTGAGTGCTGGTTACACTGGCACTATGAGTGCTGGTTACACTGGCTCTATGAGTGCAGGTTACACTGGCACTATGAGTGCAGGTTACACTGGCACTATGAGTGCAGGTTACACTTGCACTATGAGACAAGGTTACACTGGCACTATGAGTGCAGGTTACACTGACACTATGAGTGCAGGTTACACTGGCACTATGAGTGCAGGTTACACTGGCTCTATCAGTGCAGGTTACAGTGGCACTATGAGTGCAGGTTACACTGGCACTATGAGTGCATGTTACACTGGCTCTATCAGTGCAGGTTACAGTGGCACTATGAGTGCAGGTTACACTGGCACTATGAGTGCAGGTTACACTGGCTCTATGAGTGCAGGTTACAGTGGCACTATGAGTGCTGGTTACACTGGCTCTATGAGTGCAGGTTACACTAACACTATGAGTGCAGGTTACACTGGCACTGTGAGTGCAGGTTACACTAGCACTATGAGTGCAGGTTACACTGGCTCTATCAGTGCTGGTTACACTGGCACTATGACTGCAGGTTACACCGGTACTATGCATGTTGTATAAACTGTCAATATGCGTCTATGTTAAATTGACAATATGTGTGGAGGTTAAACTGTCAATATGCGTAGAGGTTAAACTGTCAACGTGTGTATGTTAAACTGACAATATGTGTGGATCGGGTATACATGATGTAATGGTAGGGTCTATCAGTGCAGGTTACAGTGGCACTATGAGTGCAGGTTACACTGGCACTATGAGTGCAGGTTACACTGGCTCTATGAGTGCAGGTTACAGTGGTACTATGAGTGCTGGTTACACTGGCTCTATGAGTGCAGGTTACACTAACACTATGAGTGCAGGTTACACTGGCACTATGAGTGCAGGTTACACTAGCACTATGAGTGCAGGTTACACTGATTCTATGAGTGCAGGTTACACTGGCACTATGAGTGCTGGTTACACTGGCTCTGTGAGTGCTGGTTACACTGGCACTATGACTGCAGGTTACACCGGTACTATGCATGTTGTATAAACTGTCAATATGCGTCTATGTTAAATTGACAATATGTGTGGAGGTTAAACTGTCAATATGCGTAGAGGTTAAACTGTCAACGTGTGTATGTTAAACTGACAATATGCGTGGATCGGGTATACATGATGTAATGGTAGGGTATATATGATGTAACGGTGGGTATACATGATGTAATGGTGGGCTATATATGATGTAGTGGTGGGTATACATGATGTAATCGTGGGTATATATGATGTAATGGTGGGTATACATGATGTAATCGTGGGTATATATGATGTAATGGTGGGTATACATGATGTAATCGTGGGTATACATGATGTTATGGTGGGTATACACGATGTAATGGAGGGTATACATGATGTAATGGTGGGTATACATGAGGTGAGGTGAGGTGAGATTGGGTTTAACGTCGCGTCCAAGATTATTGCACTTATATAGCGACGTGCATGCACGTGTATGTGTGTGTGTGGCTGCTTGTACTAGTCCGGACTGATGCCGATTTATAGTGCTAGCTCACTGAGATACCATGCCGCAGTTTAACATGAATACCCCACTCAGACACAGTATACTGACTCCGAGCCGACC